ACTACATAGTTTATATATATATATACACACACACATATATACACATATATATCTACATACATATATACACACACATATACACATATATGTATTCATGTGTGTATATGCATACATATATATGTATATATACATGTATATGTGTATACATGTATATATGTGTATATATGTGTGTGTGTATATATGTGTGCGTATATATGTATATATGTATGTGTATATATGTATGTATATATGTGTGTGTGTGTATGTGTGTGTATATATACATATATACACACACACACATATACACACACACATATATACACATATATTCATCCAGTTCTTAAATATTTACTGAGGGCCTACTTTGTGTCAGCTTCTGGATTAGAGGTTGGGGGTCCAGGGTGAGCACAAACAGGTATAGTCAGTCACTTTCTTTCGTGGACCTTATGGTCTAAGAGAAGAGAGTGTTAAACAGATTGTCACAGGTGTGCTTTGCAGAAAGAAGCCAGACTCTGTGCGTGAACGGTGGGGCGTCTGCTCCCAGACTGGGGGTCCGAGAAGGCTGCCTGGAGGAGCAATCTGCCGAATGAGTGGGAGTTAGTGGGATGGCGTGGCAGTCATGAGGGCAGTCCAGGCAGTGGGACAGCTAGAACGAGGCCCCTGTGGCAGAAGGGAGTCTAGTGTATACAAGGCACTGAAAGAGCATGGTGTGGCTGGGACTTGGGGGCGGGGGTATGGGGGGGCGACAGGAGGTGAGGAGTGTGCAGTTAAGCCAAGGGGAAGGAGATGGAGGAGCCAGACTTGCAGGAGAATGTTGGCCTTAAGAGCAATGAGAAACCATTCTGGGACTTTGAGCAGATTGGGATTCTGGCGTAGAAAATTCAGAGGCCATCCAGCTGTGACCCTTCCAAGATCTCTTGTTACTGTGTGCCGTTGCTTACGTCCTAGAATGACTCTCCTGCCTCATGGTGCTCTGGTGCCGCAGGCTCCTGTGGGCTTGTCCAGTAAGGGCCAGTGCAGGCTCCCCGGAGTGCTTGCCCGAGTTGTGGTCTCTTCCCAGAAATGGCAGCTTTTTCTGTCTTCATCACCATCTTTGATGGCCTGCGTTCTCCCAGACACTCTCCCCTCCCCTGCTCAGGCTCAATTGATTTGCTGGCCCAGAACTTGGACCGCTCTGCTTCTTGGGTGATCGTGACATGGGCCAGGCTTTAGACTTGATCACACTGGGCTAAGGGTACTGCCTCCTTCCAGCTCAGCCTGCCCTGGGCACCTTTGTCTGGTAGAGCTGGGTGGTACAGAGGCCCTGGTGGGGGACCTAGGAAATATGCTGGGAAGTGTGTCCTTGTGGAGCTCTGGTCTCACCTAGCGCCCCTCTCTCTCTCTCTCTCTCTCTCCTCCCCTCCCGCCCCCTCCCCCTACTGGGCTCTGCTGAGCAGTTCAAGAGGCCGACTCACTTGCCAGTGTGCCGCTAGGAGCTGCCCGCCCAACAGCACCAGCCTCAGCCAAGAGAACGAAGCCAGCAGCTGCAGCAGGGGGCCAGGGCGGGGCCTCTAAGAAGGAGAAGAAGGGGAGGCACAAAGGTTGGCTCGCCTTCCCTACAGCCCTCCTCAGGAGGCCTGGCCCCTGCTGTGGGGTTGGGGGAGGCTTATCCTCCAGACTGGGAGGTCAGGGACAGGGTGGGAGGCCTCGGTGAAGGAACCAAATGGCACTCAGGGCCCCACCTAGCAGGCGCACAGGCCTAGCTCATGGGGCCCCTAGGCTGGCCTGCAGGTGTGGGCAGTCTTTCTGTACCGCCATGAAGTAAAGTCCAGCTCGGCTGTGGCCCAGGCAGCCCCTTTCCATGCTCAGCCTGAGCACCTTCTGCCTCTATCCTCGCCCAGGACACTCCTTCCCGTAGGGCTCACTGCCTCCCAGGCAGCCTGCCCCATCCCTGTGCAGCCTCCCAGTCATCATGTGGCCTTTTGAGACTCTAGTCCCAATTCCACCCTCGGGGCCCACAGACCAGTCTATTTCCTCTGCTGCTCTCTCCCCAGAAAAAAAAACGCCTGAGCTCAAGGACAGTTATAGTGGCCCCGGCCCCAAGTCCTGTTCCTCCTGGCTAGACACCCTGTTTCTTCAACCTTGTGCCTGGGCAGTGACCTCCAGGCCTCTGGTCATCGTTGGACAGTGGAGTGTCAGGGTCCATAAGCTTCTGGCATTGTGCTGCATTTTGGACATAGCCCGACCAGGCAGGGTGGCTGCCACCTGTGTGGGCCAGGCCTTGCTTCTGTTACTGAAGCTGTGGCAACTTGGGCGGGAGGGTTGGCGTTGGATGGGAGATCCTCCACTCGGGAAGGCGAGTGTATGCCAGCCTCAGTCTTTTTCAAGGGGCCCCCTATGTTTTTAACGATGCGTGTGTTTACTGGATGTTTGTAGCTGAGAGAGAGCGAGCGCATGAGAGAGAGAGAGAGATGACCGTGGCTATGGTTTGGGTGGATCCTCGTACTCCATCTTGTTTTTCACTGTGCAGTTGGTTTCGTAGATGGCTGCCATCTGCCTAGGGATGTGAGGCATTTCAAAGCAACCCTCGGCAACTAATGTGGGGCAAGAGCGGAGGAAATAAAGCCCATGTTCCCTCATAGCTCACCCATCATTAAGAGGCCAACAGCAATCATTAGTTTTTTAAAAGTCAGTCTTGTAAATGCAGTTTTGCAGAGGGTCCACCCACTCATCCCTCACCCACTTCTTGGACATCTGAAGATGCAGCTTCCCTCCCCCTCCCCACCCCCGTCGGGACTCAGGACTGTCCGTGGCCTGCAGGCACCGGCGGGCCAGCAGCTCTGGCAGAAGACAAGTCTGAGGCCGGAGGCCCAGTGCAGATCCTGACTGTGGGCCAGTCGGACCACGCCCAGGACGCAGGGGAGACGGCAGCTGGTGGGGGCCCACGGCCCAGCGGGCAGGACCTCCGTGCCACGATGCAGAGGAAGGGTGAGCCCCGTTGGGGTCTAGCGACACCCCCAAAGCTCCATCCCAGGTTCTCAGATGCACCCTTCTCGGGGAGCATGGCCCTCCTGTGTCTGTTCCAGCCCCTCCCAGGCCCTAGTCGGGGGCACGCTTGGAGACCAATGAGAAACTTGGGCAGGGGCCTCTGATAAGGCCAAGTTAAGGGAAAGAAGTGTGAACTAGGGTAAGTAGCCAGCCCACAGCGCAGCCCTGTCCCCTACCCATATCACCTGCCCCCGAGGGAGACCCAGGCTTGGGGACAGATTTCTTTTCCCTTTGGTTCCTTTGAAAATTCCTTTTGTAAAACGTTCCCTGTCTGCTAAGCTTGGGGTTGCAGGGCCAGGGTGCTGAGCAGCAGGGCAGATCCTCCTAGGAACCCTGCTGCCCAGAGAGTTTCCCCACCAGGCGCCCTGCCCCAGGGAGCCCCTGCCACAGGGTGACAGAGCGAAGCCCTGCAGTGCCACACATTCTGGGAGATCAGATCAGGGACGGCTGTTGGGGCAACCTGAGGCTGGGAATGGCATTCCAGGTGGGGAAAAGCACACACAGGGCCGCGGGCAGGCCAGGGAGAGGAATTGGTGGGCCTGGTACTTCAGGCTAAGGAAGCTGCCTTTCCCCGGCAGCTTCCATGGCCTGTGGCCCGAGGCCAGAAATGGAGGCTCCTGGCACAAGGTCAGCTCAACTCAGGCCTCGCTACACAGGAGATGGGCACTGAGACTGCTAGAGAGGAGGGGCTCTGATGGAGGGACTGAGCTGAAGCTGGGGGAGGGGGATGCACACCACTAGCATCGTGACCAGTCCCAGCATGCACCTGAGTGTCCTTGTGTATATCTGGATGTATGTGTGGGAGTGTGTGTGAATGCATGTGTGCACAGATGGCTCTGTGCATGTGTGCATGCAGGAACGGGTGACTTGGTGCCTGTGAGCAGGTGTCTGGGTGTGTCTCTGTGACCACTCATCCCTTCTTGCTCCTCTGCCTGGCCCAGGCATCTCCAGCAGCATGAGCTTTGATGAAGAAGAGGATGATGAGGACGAGAACAGCTCTAGCTCCTCCCAGTTAAACAGCAACACCCGTCCCAGCTCCGCAACTAGCAGGAAGTCCATCAGGGTGAGTGAGCAGCTTTTATGCCTGGCAGGAGGGTGCGTGTCAGTGTTCAGAGGGCTGGTCATCCAGGTTGGGGGCTGGGGGGAGTTGAGTGTGGAGAGATCCTGGCGAGCGGCTTTCCTGGGACAGGGGCTGGGCCCAAGGTGCCTGTCAAGAGTTCTGGCCTAGGCGCTTCTGCCCTCCCGCTCTGCCTCCTGTTTTCTTCAGCCAGGCCAGGAGGGTGGGGGGAGCAGGAGTTAGGCAGGATGACCTCTGAGAACCTGCCCATATCCTCCATTTCCACCCCCAGGGACTACTTAGGTGAGGGAAGGGGTGGGAAGCTAGTTGCCAACCCCAGGGCCAGGCCGGCCAGGTGGGCCAGACCCACCTCCAGGAACCCTGCCCTGTCTTTCACCACCACATCAAGGGGCAGTTCTGGATTCCAGAGCACCAGTTTCAGCTGGTCAGGGTCCCCAGGGCTCAGGCTCCTGTTCTGTCCCCGGTAGGAGGCAGCATCAGCCCCCAGCCCAACAGCCCCTGATCCTGCAGTGGATGTTGAGGTCCAGGATCTTGAGGAGTTCGCACTGAGGCCAGCCCCCCAGGGTATCACCATCAAGTGCCGCATCACACGGGACAAGAAGGGGATGGACCGGGGGATGTACCCCACCTACTTCCTACACCTGGATCGCGAGGATGGGAAGAAGGTGAGGTTGGCCTGGACGTGCACTTGCACCTGGGCAGGCTTCAGGTCCTGGGGCTGGAATGTAACTGAAAGCCTCAGATCCAACACTGGCCTTTCAGTTCCCCCAGAGACAGAAGCCCCCGTGCCTGGTCAGTGCATGCCTCTGTTAGCTGTGCGTACACATATGCACACTGTTCTGGAGCTGAAGCAAGGGAGAGTCACTCATGTGGGTGCAGGTGTGAGTGGCACTCACGATTGTGTGTGGACCAGAAACCAAGCCTGAAACGTGACCTTACTCTGCTCCCCAAGGTGTTCCTCCTGGCGGGAAGGAAGAGAAAGAAGAGTAAAACTTCCAATTACCTCATCTCTGTAGACCCAACAGACTTGTCTCGAGGAGGGGACAGCTACATCGGGAAACTGCGGTACCAGCACTCCCCCAGGAAGGGTGGGCAGGCTCTCTGGAAGGCATCTCTTGTCTCTGAGGGACGTCTAGGGCCAGGAGTTAGACCCTCTTCCAGGATTCTCTCTGTCCACCAGGTCCAACCACAGGCTTAGGTCTGTGCCAGCCTAGAACCAGACTTGGAGATGGGCCTCTTACACCCCACCCTAAGCTGATCCCAGCCAGGTGGAGCACAGGCCCACTGACAGGGACGGATCAGACCCTAGGATATCACTGATGATAGAGGCCACCATGGAAGAGCTCCTTGGTGCCATGGTCAGTGCCAAGGGGTAGGACTGAGAGTGAGTCCTTGAGGGAAGAGAGAACAACCCTGGGGTGGGGGGAAAGCTATGAGCCAGCCTTGGTGGGAGGAGGGTTTGCTGAGGAATAGAGTGCCAGATTTGGGGAGCATAAGTCAAGCTTAGAGGTAAGGAGCCAAAGCTGGAGAAGGGGCTGGACCAAGACTGAGGCTAGAGAGGACAGATCCATCTCATCCAGTCTCTGTGGTTTGCCGAGTCCCCTCTACAGTCTTGCCAGATGCCGTTCTGTTTGCTAACCTCCCATGAGACAAGCACTTCTGTTTCTCCAGGGAAACTTTCTGTGGGAGCCAGATTTATCTCCCCAAATTTCCCTCACTGAACGGAGATGCTCTTTGATTCAACTCAGAGCAAGTCCAGGCCTTTTGCCCTCAAAGATGGGGATTCAGTGAGCAGTAGGCCTCCAGGTCTACTCCTGGCCTAGCCCAGGATGCTTTGGAGGCTCCTCATAGGACAGACTCTTTTGAGCTGTTTGCTACCCTGGGCCAGAGGGTACATGACCCTATACTGAGTGTGTCTGTCCTTCAGGTCCAACCTCATGGGCACTAAGTTCACCATTTATGACAATGGAGTCAACCCTCAGAAGGCATCATCCTCTACTTTGGAAAGTGGAACTTTGCGTCAGGAGCTGGCAGCTGTGTGCTACGTGAGTCCTGGGTTCCTGGGTCTCTGGTCTCCAAGTTAGACATGACACTCAGGACTTGCTGTCTGATCTGTGGGCCGTCCCATCTATCTTTGTGGGTCAACAAGACTGTGCAGAGGTAGGCTGCCCTCTGTGGCATGGCTCCTGTCCCAGGCCCTCTCCTCTCTTCAGAGCTCAGACCACAGTTGGCCATCTGCCTTAAAGAGCTCTGGGAACTGGGCCTGACTCTATGCAGCCCAGCCCAGGAGCCTCCTGGAAAGGAGGCGGCAGGAGGCCTGGGTTGTTGTCAGTGTAACCCTTCAGCCTTCTCTCCAGCATCCTGCATGGACTACAAGGTCCTTTGCATAATCATCTCACTGAATGCTCAGACTAAAGCTCTGTCCTATTTTCTTTATTATGTAGATGAGGAAATTAAAGCATCGAGGTTGGGTCACTTGCAAATGTCCCACAGCTCATAAAAGACAAAACTGGAATATAAGTACAGGGGATTTCACTTCATTTTAAAATGAGAGATTGGTAGGTACCCCCATCAATTGGGCATGGGCACTTCACAGAGGCTAATTGGAAATCCATAGCTATTTAGTATGATCTTATGGTGCCACCTGCTGGTCAACTTTGGGGAGGCATCCCAAATCTCTTCAAATACTTAACCGAGCTTCAACTATGTTCCAGGTACTGTTTAGAGGCACTAAGGATGTAGTAATGAACAGAAGAGACATAAATTTATACTCTTATGGGACGTCAACCCTTAGTGGGAGAGACAAGCTATAAACCATAAAAATAAGCAAAATATGTGCCTGATAAGTGCCAAGAAGAAAAAAATAAAGCAGGAAGGAGGAATATGAAGTGTCCAGGTGTGTGTGAGCTTTTAGGAAGGATGGCAGGGAGGGTACCACTCTCACTGAGTTAGCACTTGGGTGAAGCCGAGAAAGAAGTGAATGATGTCTGGTATGGAGGGGGAACAGTAAGGAGGGCAGAATGAGTGATGAGGAGGAGGTAATGGGACCATATCTTATGAGGCCTTGCAGGTTGAGGTGAGACCTTCAGCTTTTACTCTGAGTGAACTAGAGAGAAAAAGATCTGACTTCACCACTCCCTGCTGTGTGGAGAGGAGATGACAGGGAGGAGGGGGAGAGGGCCAGGAATGGAAACAAGGAATCCACATTGTCTATTACTGTAATCTGTGAGAGAGAGAGTGATGGTGAAAAGTGACTGGATTCTGGAGGATGGAAACAAGGAATCCACATTTCTATTACTGTAATCTGTGAGAGAGAGTGATGGTGAAAAGTGACTGGATTCTGGATCTAATGTGAAGGTAGAACTGATAGCATTTGCTGATGGGTGAGGTTAGGTGTATGAGAAAGTATGACCCCACGTAGTTTGCCTGAGCAAAGGAAGAACTGAGTTTGCTGTTAACTGCAGTGAGGACAACGGTGAAAGGAGCTAGTTTGGGCGGGATTCAGCAGCTCACTTTTAGACACATGTGATTATTATTATAATGCCTAGTAGACATTCTAGTAGAGATGGTGAGAACTAGCTCATCATCTATTCCCTTTCTCCCAGTCTCTCTAATAGTAAGTAGTTCTCGGATGGCCACTGTTGAGTTCTCTCTTTACTTCCCAGGAGACAAACGTCTTAGGTTTTAAGGGCCCACGGAAGATGAGTGTGATTGTCCCAGGCATGAACATGGTTCACGAGAGAGTCTCTATCCGACCCCGCAATGTGAGTCTCTGCCCCACCCCAGTCCTTCCCCATCATCCCAACCTCCGCATGAGCTTCTGAGGGCAGATCTCCAGCTGGTGTGTCTGTGTGTAGGAGGCTCAGTGTGAGAAACCGTAGGGGTCTAGGAAAATCTAAGGACTCCCACCCCTGGGGCAGATCCCTCTTTGGGGTGGTCAGAGTGCCAAGGCCTGGGCGTGGCTCAGGTGAGGCTGCTTTCCCAGGAGCATGAGACGCTGCTTGCACGCTGGCAGAATAAGAACACGGAGAGTATCATTGAGCTCCAAAACAAGACACCTGTCTGGAATGACGACACGCAGTCCTACGTACTCAACTTCCACGGGCGTGTTACACAGGCCTCCGTGAAGAACTTCCAGATCATCCATGGCAATGACCGTGAGTGTTCCTGCATTTTACTCATTCCTGTCCACATGAGAATCGGGCCATTAGCTCAGGGTTCGGTTCCCCTAGCCCTGCCCACGTAGGCCAGAGATTAAAGGCATGGGTTATATGGCTTAGATTAGATGTAAAGAACTTACTAACCATAACTGTGGCCTTGGAGGAGACCTCTTTGGAGCCCTGACCCTAGATAATGTGCACTCAGCAGAGCTTCAGGTGTGGAAATACTCTGTGAATGGACTGCTTCCCTTTCTCCTGGTATTTGTACACATCTTTCTTTCTCCTTTGCCCTCTGCTCCTTCTTCCTGCCCTCCTCTCAAATGGTGTTTTACCTCCTTTGGGATTACCTTGGTATCACTGCTTCTTCCTTTCTCTTCCTTGTTGGGTTTTGGGTGTCTGTGCTTTCCCATCTCCGCCATCCTTACTCTGTCTCTGTGTCTGTCCACACTCGTGCCTGTCTCCAGCGGACTACATCGTGATGCAGTTTGGCCGTGTTGCAGAGGATGTGTTCACCATGGATTACAACTACCCGCTGTGTGCGCTGCAGGCCTTTGCCATTGCCCTGTCCAGCTTCGACAGCAAGCTGGCCTGCGAATAAAGGCCTCCTCATGCCCTTTGAGGTTGCCCAGCCCGGAGAGGAGCTGCCTGCCTGCCTGCGGAGACAGCCCTGCCTACCCTGTGTACATAGGCCTCCTGCCAGATGAACCTTTGGCTCTCAGTGGGCTCCCTGGCCTGGCCAGCCAGGAATTGGCACCTTTGCCTCCTCTGTTGAGGCAGAGGAGTGGGGTGTGTATGAAGGGACCAGAGTGAATTTCTGTGCCCTAAGATCAACACACACCCCCACTCTTGGTTTAGTATCCTGCTGCAGTCATGTTTGCCAAGCTGGGCAGCCTCTTCAGTTGGGAAGGCAGGATGAAGTGTAGAGGGAGAGAAAGCACAATTCAGGGCTGCTGTGGCCTAGCCATCCCTTCAGCCCAGGAGTCAGGTGACAACGGATCCCCAACAGTGAGGGGCACAGAAAGTGTGTGTAAGGCATGTCAGCTTCATATAGTAAAGGGCTTGGTAGCCGAGCCGGGCCCTTAAAACTGCAGACAGTCCCCCAACTGCAGAAGGCCCCAGCCTAGCAGAGTTATAGGGGCTGGGGAAGAGTGAGTTGGCAGGACCTTGTCAGGACTGTAGGGGCCTGGCTGCTGGGAATTGGCTAGTGGCCTAGGGATCCAGCTCATTCGATTTCTCTAGGTTGTCTCTATGCGCAGAGGCAGCAGGAGGCCAGCCTCAAGGCTAGATGTCTTAGAGGATGGGGCCTGTAGGACACAGGCTCAGAATGGAGGTGTATGGAACAAGCTCCCTGGATCAGGGATATCCTGGAAACCTTGTCAGCTGCCCCAGGAGCTCTCTGCTGACCAGTCCCCGCAAAACTCACCCCGGACACCAACCCCAGACTACACACAGGTAGGCATGCTGGGGCCCTTGCTAGTAAGCTGCAGGTGCGCGTGCCTGTGCTTCAGCTCTCACTACGGTTAGCCTAGGTCGTGGTTGCTGAGGGCTTCTCTGTGTAGTTGTTCTTGGATAGAAATGGGACAGGGTGAGGAGAGCAGAGAATATTTTAGAACGATAAGAGACCAGAGGAGGCAAGACCCTTAGAGATCAATTAGTACAACTCTTGTCACTTTAGGTGAATCACTCAGAAAATGGAACGTGTCCTAGGTCACCTGGCAGGTTAGTGGCAGAATTTGGAACTTCATCTCACAGGATTTCTTTATTCCCACCATGCCCCAAGAAACTACTCTCTCTGGCTCTCTGGCTTTCCTGGGGCCCAGTCCACGTGCCCTCGCCCTTTTGCCTGATTCTAGAAACTTAGCAATGTCAGATGCCCAGTAAGCCGGCCTAGCAAGGCTACTGCCCATTTCTGTACTGGGTGTGACAGGTGGGGTGCTCATGTTCTGGGGCAGGGCCTGTTCTCTCCCTCCACTGCCATCCTTCTCCTTGGATGGTCCACTGCCATCCATCTACCTTGACGACTTGGGAACTCTCATCTGCCTTTTTGTCATTTACCCTGGCAGAGACTACTTGCCCTGATGGAGATCAGAAGTCAGTGGTTAGCAAGCAGCTGTTCTTCACTTCAGAGTAGTAGACGTGCTTGGAAAGACTACCTAGAAACTGATTTCTTAAAAAATAAAAGTCATACTTCACACGTTAGTGAGGCTCTGTAGTGAAGTGAGGGAGTTGTTTTGACTTGAGGGAATATGCTCTCATTTCTCCATAATCTAGGATTTCCTGTGTTGAGTGCTTAAAGCAAGGCATACTTGTTCCAGCATGGATCTGCCCACACCTAGGCATATGTTTCTGAGAGTCCCCTCCAGTGACCTAGTTTTTGTCAATGTGGTCTAGTTCTGGACAGCTCTTAACTTAGGGCCATTTTGAGGGCACCAGAACTTTTTGTGCTGGGGCTGGTTTACTTTCCAGGGAAATACTGTGGTGCCATCCTGCTTTCCATAGTTCCGGTTTGGCTCCTCCTTTTCTGACTTTGAGAAGAGAACTGCTGATATCTGGGATGGTAGGCACTAGATGATTCTAAAGTCTGGTCAAGCTGTTTCTCTGGGTCTATGATTTTAAGGTAGAACAGGCTGGTTTTTGGATCCTCATGAGAGGGGAAATCCTGGTGACAAGAGTGGAAAAATCAGAAGCACAATGGCAAACTCCTGTTCCCTGCTTTCTCCTCTTATACACAGGAGAGGGGGTTGGCTGAATATTTTGGTAGGTCAGGAATGTGGGCTGAGCTTTCTAAGCCTGGCTGTGGAGAAGGATAGCTCAGCAACAAAACCCTCTGTTGGGCACTAAGTGACAAGCAAGAGCAGTTAAGTCACCTGCTCGAGACCCAGCCTCACAGGGTTTGTTCTTATGACCCCATTTCTGGTGATGCTGGTTTTCCTTGACCTCTGGCCTCACAGCCATGGGCCCAAAGACTCAGAGCTGCCCGGGCCCCTGGAGACCACCTGGGCTCAGCCTCTCCCATAGTAATTTCTTGCCTTTCGTACCCTTTATCCTAATAGTCCTTGGTTAGGCAGGGAATGAGCAGTCCCTAAGGGTGTTGGGCAGCTGGGCTCTTAGGCAGCTCTTCCGTGACTGCTCTTGGCTCTGTAATTCCTTCTGGGGCTACATCCCCAAACCCTACAGCCCTCTGCCCCAAAACAGTTTGGCAGAGTGGTGACATTCACTTCAGCTCTTTTTTTCTTTCCTTTGGCTCCAAGGTGCTCTGTGTCTGTCTGCGTCTGCGTCTGTGTCTTTGGGGAAAAGGGCAATCTGCAAATAATCATCTGAGGTTTCTTATGGTCATATTTTTAAGCATGAATAGGAAAGGAGTAAGGATGTAGTGTACCTGTGGCTTTTGTTCATTCATTTCAATATTCTTTGATAAGAAAGTATACCTGGGAAAGTACCAGCTCTTTCTCCCAAGGTTCTGATTGGGAGGACACCATCTAAGAAGGTTGTTTGGTTCCCACATGCATGCTTTTGGATGAATTTGAACATATTCTAGTGAATGTGCCTTAATCACTACACTAGTTCAGAAGGAGCATGTAAGGTACAGACTCATGCCAGGGACAGGTGCTGGAAGCCAGGGAGTGTGACAGAAGGAACCTTTGAAGCCCATCTCCTTTAGTGACAATAAGAGCAAGAAAATTGTAAAAGCGCAAGTTTTTGTTTTGTAAATGGGGCATTTACCTCCAAATTTGTCATTTATTTAAAGGCAGTTCTAAATTTAATAAGTGATGATTTCAAACTAAAAGGTCCATGCTTTCTTCACAGTGGGGTCTGCAGTGAGGGGAGATGCTGGGCTGGCCACGTCCGTGGCTCTGTTATGCAAGCACAAATTCCATCTCCTAGACGGAGTCCCTGGGTTTTCCCTTACTGCAGTAACACTGGCCTTCCCCTCTCTGGAATGCCTCACCCCAGCCAAGATCTCCCTGTGACCTTAGGCTGCCAGGTGGCCCTCAGCACACCTTTTCAGATAGCTGAATGTCTGCCAGCACTGAGTGGGGCCTGACTCCTTGCACTCAGGGCCCAGACTTGGGACTCCACCCTGGGCCCTGGCTTGAACTGTAGCAGCTCCCAGGTACAGGCCAAAGTATGGGCTGTTGTTTGAGTTTATTAGTTGGTTATCTGTCCTTAATACCTACAGTTTGCAATGTTTTGTTATCTCAGGATACGGGGGAGAGAGAGAGCAGAAGTATTGGGACAGGTTTGGTTTTTGAATTTTCCAACCAAAGTGAGAGGCAAGTTGCTCTTACTGAAAGCATTCCTGTACTTAGTAGCTATGTGATTTTGAACAAACCATGTAATTTTTCTAGATCTGTTTTCTCATCTACAAAATGAGGTTGGACTGTCAAAGCTTGCACTTGGAGTCAGGGTGAATGAAAGTTGATCTTTGCTTTCATCACTACCTTTTCTAGCTCATCACTGTGCCTTTTTTTCTTTCCTAAGAAAGATGTCACACCCATTTCCTCTTCTGTTCTACTGTCCCTCTCCCCTTTCCTCCATGAAGGTCCAGGCAGCGCTGGAAGTTAGGCTGAGATCCAGAGTTTACTAGAGAGTAACTTAAGAGTGGCTCAGAAAGGGAAGCCCAACTCTGGCCTCTTTAATCCTGTATTTGGTGACAAAGGGGACTTGGTTAGGGTGGGTGACACTTCTCTTGCTGGGAACATACATTTAGCCAGTTTTCATAATGCTTAGAAAATGTGTATGTCTATTTGCACAAGACTGTCTTTTCCTATTTTGGAGTGGTCAGACATTTTATTTTTGTTCAAAATTATCTGAAGTTTTAGATGAACTTGCAAAACTGCTTTTATTAAGTGACTTTTTGAATAAACTCTTTGGTATTCTGGAGCAAATGTATTTATTTATTGCTTTGTGCAATGACAAAGTTGGTATTTTCCCATGTTGACGTTATGTACGTTGTAGAACTTAAGTGTTTGTCTAAGTACAGACCATATATCAACAAATAAAACTTGAACTGTTTCAACACTACTGTGTACTTTTCTTTTCCTATAAAAGGAGAAAAAACATTTCTTACCTAAAAGTGTCTTTCTACACCATTCATTTCTTATGTCCTAAGAGCCTCAGGTGAGGAGGGTGTTACCGCCACCAAGGAGGCCGTAGCTTGTTTGTGAACACTGACACGGAATTACAACTGACCTCCCTCTGGCCTGTGCTCTTCAAGTTTAAGGATGGTCAGAACCACACACACAGGCTGGGAAGGGCTGGAAGAATGGTGAGGACAGAAGGTACTTAAGTTAGAGCAATCCTCTGTGGGGTCAGCTGTGCCAACTAGAAGAATGGGCTGTTGCTTTCTGAAAGTATCCCCCGTGGGCCTGGTTCTTAGGAACAAAAATGGGGCCACAGAGCTGAAAAAGGCGGAAGGCCCCAAGGTAACATGAAGACCCAGCCACTTGAATCCTCTGGCCCTACCCGAAGCCTACCCTATTTAAACAGGACTTGGACATGCTTGGGAATTTTCTTTCCAGCCTGTTGCAGATCTGAAGCCAAGAGCGAGACTGCAGTTGTGGCTAGAAGCAGACATGAGAGCTAACAGTCTGATCCTAAGGGAGAAGGTCGAAACTAAAGTCACCCAGAGACTGCAGAATCCTGTGTGCTGGGCCACTCCGAGCAGTCAAGGTAGCCTTGGAGGGTGTCCAGTGTGATAGCATAGGACTTGATGAGAGTGATGATTCTGTAATGAGTACCTACCACATGCTACACCCTGGGACAGGTACTTTATAACCATATTTAATCCTAACAGCCTTGTAAAATGGATCTTATTCCAAATTCATAAATGAAGAAATTGCTGCTTGGAGAAGGGATGATATAAGAAAAAGGAGAAATCTGTCCTCTTTTCTTTGTATAAAAAATAAGGAAAGGTTAGGTACATTTTAGATCTGTATAAAACTGGTTAAGGAAAAGTCATGGGTACTTCATGGTTTTTTTTTCCTCAGTATTGCCGGAAAGCTGAAGTACTAGCTTTTTCTTTGGAATATAAACGGTCTGGGTTGAGAGAGAATTTAAGAGCATGGGGGTAATAAGTAGGGTTAGTTTATTTACTACCTCAGATTTGGATTTTTTAGGTGACCAAGAGCATTTCTGCCTAAACCATGGCCTATTTCCTTGCCTCTATGTCTTTGGGAAACAGCATATGCAGGGTATGACTAAAAAGGAAAGAGGTTTTTGTTAAGTGGCCAGGTTAAGGACAACTCTTCTAAATAACCATGGACCATATGCCCAGGACAGTCCTGGCGTAATTGCTAAAGCTCCCAAGTATCCCAATTTGGACTGTAAGTTGTTTGTTCACCTCAGCCATAGAAGGTACAGAGAGTATGATTCTCTTAGGGTGTTTTTTCTAGAGACTAAAAGTATCTACTCATTTTCCTCCCTGGGCCTACATCACTGGTCTTGGAGCTAATGAGGTGCTCTCCATGTGCCTCCTGTTATTACCAGGAATGAGGAGATCTCCTGGCTGGGTCACCTACCTGATTTACCAAGCATGGTCCCAGGTGATACAGTTGTTTTCTAGGCCAACTATCTGCCTCCAGAGATGTGACATACTCTGCCACAGGGACCAAAGGCCAGTGCAGACCTAGTGCCCAGGGAGTGATGAAGTTCACAGCCCACACCAGTTCTGAGAGATGAAGACCATGAGGAAAGACATCAGGCACGACAATAAAAACCAGTCCCAGTGATTTTGGTCATCCCAGGTTGTATATATGTCACCCCTGAAGGATGAAATGATTCTGGATAATGCAGAAAAGACTGTCTAATCTGAAATTATTGAAAAGTACATTAAAATTTTTAAATATAAATATATAAATATATTCCTGCTATATTAACCAAAAAGAGCTAGGGCAGCAACCACCATCATGAGTTCTGGCAGGAACTATTTTCATGAACCAGTTTCCCCCGAAGATTAACATTTAAAATAAAGAGTTGGTTATGTGACACCTTCCATAGCAGCCTCATCAAAATACTTGAACATCCATATATTTTCACACCCCACTGCTTTCTCCACTACCACTCTTTCTGCTAAGAATGTCTTCTCTTCCTTGTCTACCTGGAGAAGTTCTCAACATGCTTCAAGACCCACCTCCTCTGTGAATTTTCTTGGAAGTACTTTGACAAAAGATCTCTCTGTGCTCCCGTAGATTTGGGTCCATATCTCAATTACAGCATGAAACCTTGTACAGTAAAAGTAAATTAGCTACCACTGATTGAGTGGTTACTATGAGATAGGACTAATGCTGTTTTACAGGCACTGATGATTTCATTAATCCTTATAACCATCCTGTGAGACTCCCTTGCATTAGAGATGAAAAAGCTATGGCTCAAGAGTTAAGGAGCTGACAAGATTCTAGTTAGAATAGGCAGGGATGTAATCATGACCGACCTTTCTCTGTCTACAGAACTCACAATCTTGAGCCCTTTTAAAGTTTATAGTTCATTTAAAAAATTTGGATAAGGAAGACTCCCACACTAAACTGAGCTTCTTAAAGGTAGGAACTGAGCATTCTGTTGCCACTGCCTAGCTCTGAGCAGTGTTTGCTACATGAATAAATGAATGAAAGAATAAGGTAGAAGGAAACATATGCATTTCATATCCTAAGGCAGAAATCTGAAACAGGGACCCAGGACTCAAAACAACCCCTTATGGTGAATGAAGAGAAATAACACAGAAAACGATTTATGGAAACAGCAAAGAGCACCTACATGATTTTTTACCTTTAGTGTTACATTATATCTAGATTTTAAGTACATTTTAGACAGCATTCGTTACAAGTGAACCAAATGTTTCACAAAGAACATGCAATATATTTTCTATAGAGCAGTCTTAAACTTTTCTCTGTAGTTCAATAACAAGAAATGTCTAGTAGTAGCTGACACATCTTAATAATGACTCTTTACCTTCTGACAATAGTCTGTATGCTTATATGTGTGATTTAAACTATTTTCCTGGCATCCTACTCGTGCCAGGAACAGTGGAACTCTAAAAGCCATATCTACCTATACATAATTTCTTAATTTTCAAGTCTTCCACATTTCATGGCTGGGAATGTCCTCAGGAATGTGTCCTTTTTAAACTCTCAGGTCTTACAGGTAAACTGTGAACTCACCCATCCTTACTAGACAGAATACATAGGTGTCATTTTGTCTCAAAAAGACACATGACAGATGGTATCTTAGAGATTAAACCTATAGTTTGGTCAAAATCCTCCCAGTTCTAACCTAACCCCTCCTACTTTCCCCAGGAGAGAGAAGGCCCAGATATCCGAATACAAACAAACCAATGGTCTCTTCTCTTGGGCACTGCTACAATGGTTCTCTGCAGCACACTCTGCAACTTCCCTGCTGGGCTGGCAACTGTCTACAGGCTCAGTCCTCACTTCTGTTTCAATCCATATGGTTGTGACAACAAATTTCCCAGAGGGCTCAACATTCAGAAACAGCTTCTAGACAAGGACTGTCCATAAATGCGTGGGTTCTCACCCCATCACTGGCTCCCTGGTCTTCTGAGCATCTCATGGTAGGCTTTCCTGCAGCCTCAGCAGCTTCAAACCTTGGCTCTACAGGGCAAGGACTAAAGTCTATCTAAAGCTTCCTCTAGCCACTGAAGATCAGAGGTACAAAGATGCTTCTGGGTTTGGCAGTTGTTAGGAAGACCAGGGATAAAGGAAGCTAGAGATCCAGGCAATATCAGAGCAAACAGTCCCCCTACAGGCCTCTGGGTTCGTTTTCAGGTTAGTGGGAGTCTTCTCTTCCTCTAGAGAAAAAGGGTATCTGAGGCAGCATCAGCACTCCTAAAAAGGCCCTCGTGAGGAAGGAGCTTCAGCTCACATGGCAGAATCCTACCTTGCTCTGGTCCCTTCATCCCCACAAAATGTTCTCTTTGTGAACCCAGGGGACCACTAACCTGCTCAAGGCCCAGAGAATAAGGCATCTTGGACTCTGAAATCTTCACTCTTGCAAACTTAAGTCCTCTTCATGTGTAAGCTGATGTTCAATCACAGGTAAACCATCTGTCACACCTAGCACGAAGAGTCGGACCTCTGCCCTTGGGTGGTCCCATCTGTAATTACGAAAGATCATTTACTCAGTGGATCAACTCTCCGATGGAGGAAAGGCAGGAAGAGTCAAGCTATCTTGTGTTCCTACTACTCTCTCTGATGTTTTACAAGGTGACAGGTGTGTGAGCACCAGGAAGGATACACAATATCCACAGTAGTGACCTGACTGGCTATGATAATTAAACAAAGAGAATGAAGTACAGGGCACAGGGCCAAGGATGAAATCTGAGAGATGAGACAAAGGTCGCCTTGGGACTAAAGTAATGGATACTTCACCAAACTGGATGTTTTCACTCTAAACCCTGGGGGTTCCGCTTCCTCAATGTGCCACCTGTATATGCTTTGTCGGCACGAATGCCCAGGCCCTCATCTCTGAAGTCCTGGGGCCACACTTCTTTGGTGGTTTCCTCCTGCTCACTGTAACTGTCTGCACTGAATCCAGCATTCTCTGCCAAGACAGCAGGATCCTCTTCTTCATGAAGACAGCAGGAACATGTTTCTGGCTTTGAGTCGCATGAGGTAACAGAATTATCTTCCTGGGCTCTGGGGTCAGCAGGCATTTCCCAACCCAAACGGTCAGATTCTTCTTCTTCTAGCATTCCCATTCTTTCAGCTATTTCTTCAGCAGAGGGCTCTTTTGGGTCCAGGTAATCCACTAGGATTGTTTCTTGCCTATGCTTGATGCAATCTGAAAGGTCATAAATTGGATAAGTCTCTTCAGGGTAACCTAGAGAGAAAAGTAGCACAAAGTCTTACAAAGAATGTCTCTTCAAAATAAAGTGTCAGGCTCAAAAAGGCTTTTCAGGCAGCAGCCATCCCATCCCAATAAATCCATTCAAGAAATCTCAGATGACTAACAGTTCTAAAAGTTTCACCTGAGTAAATTCTTAGAGGTCTGGCTGACTGTCCCAAGTGCACTTTGAAATACAAACCAATTCAGATGAAAATCTCTTCTTAAGTACAGGGTGCTTGGGGCAGAGTGTAAGTCTCACACCTCCTGCTTTTGTACTAGTGATGAAGATTAAACAAATAACATGAGCCTTCAGTAAAAAAAAAAAAAAGTACCAAATACCAGATGGAGAGAGCATAGCTCAAGGCTAATGTTTATAATTTCTATTTGGAACCATTTCGAAATCTTCCTGGAGATGGGGGGTAGGGTTGGGGGAAAGGAATGCTAAGCTCTTTGAAAAAATACACCAGGAAGCCTTCTACTAATCAAAACAATAGAAATGGCTTGCAAGTGTCAGAAACAGAGAGCGCTGTAGCAAGACATGCCCAAGATCCCCAAGGACAAGCACTGCATTTTCAGAAGACAGGATTCTCATTGTTGGCTTCTTCGTCTTCACAAAATGAACAAAAGAAAACAACCAACTGGTAAACAAAGTGACTAACACTGGTACTGAATCCCAGCTATGATAATGAGAAAAAAGAAAATATTGCCAAATTAAAGACCGAAATGAAATAAATCTGTGTCAGCCAAGCCAGGCCTGAGCAGCAGATGGGCTGTGCTGGAGCTCATACGCCAATGCTGGCAACAGCAGCCGTGCTCATTACACAATGTGGAAAGCTGGAGAATTCAAAATCCATTTGTGCATTATGATAATCGACAAATTCAACACTAATGTAAACCACTTTTGCCTACAAATTCTGAAAAGCAGGGGTATTTTTTGGAGCAGTGTAGAGTACGGAGAGATTTTTACAACACTATTGTTTTTTTCTGACTATAAGTCAGACAGACACATTGTAGAAAATTTGAAAAATACAAGTTTTAAAAAGAAAAATCATCTAAGATGTCACCACTGATAATTTGTTGTATTTATTCTGACCTTTTTATTATATATAAGCATATATACATACTTTTTTTAAATAAAGAATGGTACTGTATATAAATGTTGTACTCTTACTTTTTCAGTCAACATTACATCATAAGCAGATTTCTCCATGTCATTAGGCATTTTAAAGTTGGCTGTAAAACATCCCATCATAGTTACATAATTGATATGATTTACCATGCCTTTTCTGTAAGACATTTAGAGTCTTTCCAATTTTCCCTTGTAAGTAACATAGCAGTTAAGATCTCTGAATATAAATCCATGTCTACTTCCCTACTTCTTTAAGATACATTTCTAGAAATATGAAAACTAGACCAAAGGGAATGGACATTTTAAAAGCCTTTTTTACACTCTGCCAAATTACTTTCCAGAAGAATGGTATAAATTTTTAGTCCTACCAGTGATGTAAAAAACTGTCCTCACCATCACTGACAGCAGTATGTTAAGGATCTTGCCAATGCAGTCTTTATTTCTATGTTTAACTTACCGTGGATGGAATGCTAGGTAAATGGAGCTTAGCTACCCAAGGCCCTTACCACTTCCTCTGTTAATGGCAGGGGTTGGGGAAGCTTACTTGCTACTTAGCTACCAGCCACTGAATACTTAAATCCATTTTCTGGCGTGTTCCTATCTTCCCACACCAAGAATAAAGCTTACCTTTGGAATTCCATGGCTATCTAATCTTCTTTTGTTTAAGGTGGGGAAGCTTGCTGAGGAAAATCAAATAGTGACACACAACTGCTGAGGTAGCCCGTATCAGCCAACATTACTGGCTACTCAAGAACTTCATTAAAAATATGAGCAAGCAACAAAAACTCACTGGTCCTAGGAGGAAATCAGTTCAAAACAGGGAAACCAAACTAAGCAAACCATGTAAAGAGTCCCTAAAAAACAGTCGATGCAGGAAACAGGAGTTAATGTCAGTCAACTTAAAATTGACATTCTCAGTAATATTCAGAAGGATATTATACTGATAAAACCAACCAAGCTTCAATATACAAAAGGAAGCAAATAGGAAATAAGAAAGAACTATTCGAAATACACAGTTATAATTCCAAAAAACATTTAAACTTAATAGAGGGAGAAATAGCAGATTGAAATGGACATGGTTAAAAAATTAGCATATCAGAAGTCCAAGTTAAGGAATTCTCCTAGGACAAAGATAAAAATGACCAAGAAATAGAAAGTGAGAAAAAAGCTGCATGGAAGACTGACCCAGGATATCCACTCAGAATTACTGGAATTCTAGAATTAGAAAGCAGATTAGGTTAAATGGAAACAACAACCAAAGAAATTATAAAAGAAAATATCTTTAAGCTGAAGAAAGACTCAAGTCTTCAGAGAGAAAAGACTCACTAAATGATAGGTAAAAAAAAAACTATGGAAAAACTTACATACTCAGATATACCAATGAACCTGGCAAATGAACCTGCCCAAATTCAAATTTTAAGTATAAAAAGAATACAAATTTCCACACACAAAACAAACTAAAAACGGGCTGCCTATTGTAAAACAGAATCAGACTAGGATAACATTTTTCATTTTCAACATTAAATGAAAGTAGAGAATGAAGTAATGTTTTCAGACTTATAAGGGAAAATGGTACAATCATATAATTTTACATCTAGCCAAACAATTATTTGCATAAAGGTAAGCGATATATATAGATATCCAAGTACTCAAAGTACATCACTCTATATTGGGGGGGATAATTAAGAATGTATTCTGATAAATACAAAAAATCAAAAACAAAAATTCACAAAAGATACTGTATACAAGAAAGTGGTAAACAATGAGTAAGAATTATCAATATAAAATAAATAATTACTGATAATGTGGTTAGAAATTTAATGCCATTGTTAAAAAATCAGAAAAGGCTAATATCCTTAAAAATTAATATTACTTACAGCTGATTTCACAATACTTAAGAGGTAGCTAGAAAATAAATGTGATACAGATTTTACTGTCTTTGGGAACAGGATTATACATTGAACATTTGCAATTTGGAGGAAAAATGGAATTCTAATTTTCATTTCCTTGATTACCAGTGAGACTGATATACTTTTTCATATATTTTGTAGCCAGTTGCATTTTTCTTTTGTGCACTGCTTGTATAGGAAGATATCACTATTTTCTTAATTAGTTATAGAACTTCTTATATATTAAAGGTTACTTTTCAGTCACATTTGTTACAAATATTTTTCCAGTTTACTGTTGGCTTTTAAACTTTGTGGTATTCTCTGATCTATAGAAGGTAAAATTTTTATGTATTCAAGCTACATTATCTTTTTCCTTACAGTTCCCTGCATTGCTTTTTAAAAAATTAATCTTTTATTTTGAGATAATTGTAGATTCACATGTAGTTATAAGAAATACAGAAATCCCATGTACCCTTTACACAGTTTCTCCTGATGGTAACATCTTGCAAAGCTATACTACAGTATCACAATCAGGATATTAATATACAGAATATTTCTATCACCACAAGGATCCCTTATGTTGCCCTTTTATAACCACATTTTCTGCTATGGATATCCAATTGCTCCAGCACCATTTGTTAAAAAGGCTATCCTTCCGCCACTGAATTGTAAAAAAAAAATCAGTTGTGCATATCTGTATAGGTCTATTTCTGGGTTCTCTATTCTGTTTGTTTTATCTGTGTGTCTATTCTTGTACCAATACCACATGGTCTTGATTACTGTAGCTATAAAATAATACTTGGAATCAAGTAGAACGATTCCTCACACTTTTTCTTTTCCAAAATTGTTTAGCTATTCTGTTTCCTCTACCTCTCCATATACATTGTGGAATAATCTCGTCTGCATTTACAAAATCTCTTGTTGAGGTTTTGATGGGGATTGTGTTAAATCTGTTCGTCAATTTGGGAAGAATAGATATTTGTACTAACTTGAGTCTTCCAGTCTATGGATACATGTCTTCCCATTTATTTAGACCTTCTTTGATTTCTTTCATCAGTGTTACATAGTTTTCAGCCCACAAGTCCAGTTAAATTTACACCTAAGTGTTTCACTTTTTTTTGAATGATTAAAAATTAATTTTGATGTCAAATTTTTAATTTTCATGTCAATGTGTTCATTGTTTATACAGAATTACAAAAAGTTGATTTTTGTATGTTTATCTTGTGTCCTACACCTTTGCTGAACTCACTTATTAATTCTTGGAGTTTAATAGATTCCTCAGGGTTTTCCACATAGGTGATCATAGAATCTGCAAGCAGGGACAAGTTTGTTTCTTCCTTTTTAATCTGTATGGTTTTTCCCCTTTAATTTGCCTTACTGCACTACCTACAACATTCAGCACCATGCTGAATAAGAGAAGCCATCCTTGCCTGTTCCCAATGTTAGGGGAAAAGCATCCATCTTTCACCACTAAATATGTTATCTGTAGGTTTTTGTAGATTCTTTTTATCAAGTTGAGCAAATTATTCTCTATTTATATTTTTTTCTGAGTTTTTTTTATTATGAATTAATTCTGCATTGCTCTTATGTTTAAAAAGTCTTGTCTTGCTAAAAAGCCAGTATATAATTGCAACCATTTTTTCTAGTTTTTAAAGTTCCTCTCCTACATCCTTAACTATTTAGTATAGCAGGAATTATTCTGCTGTTCAATGTGTAAGCTCTTACTTCTGCTCTGGCAATAATAGAAGCATGGGGATTCTTCATATTAAATAACTAGAAAACCAAACAAAGCATAGGAAGAACCAATTTTCCAACATTTACATAACAGGTAGTGTAGCATGATCCCCGAGAAAAGGGAAACAGAGCCCAGTGGTCTTACTGTGTTGGGAAGACAGATTAAAGTTCAGGGAGGCCAGGGCAGCTAGAATTTACAGGGAAAAATATTGGAAAGAAAGAAGCTTCGTAGAGATAGAGCTCCAGAGATCTTCAGAGGAAACTCTTCATTCTTTCAGCTGAGTTCTGATCTGTGCATACATGGGAAAAAACTACCCAAGGCCAAGAAAAGAACTACTAAACACATTAGGCCTAAAATTTACTCAAGCTCACACATAGCTGAGAGTAGTTCACGATCCTAGTAGCCAGAGAGAAAAGACATTGTGGAGCATTAGATAGAGTCCTGAGAAGGGTACTGCCTTACAGAGGAGCTAAATTAACCACAGAGTAAAGGCTCCTCTGGACCCACCCTAATGAATCTTAAAAACAAGCCTTAATGTGGACCAGCTGATTTCTGGTAACTTAACTGTGTGCCAGAAAAAGGTCCAACACTATTTAAAACACTAACACAACATCCAGCATCCAAGAGTGAAAATTTGCAATACTCTATCATCCAGTCAAAATTTACCAGGCATGCAAAACAGGCAGGAAATTAGGACTCATAACAAGGGAAAAAATAATCACTAGAAACACACCAAGAAATTATACAGATGATAAAATCAGCAGCCAAGACTGTTAAAAGCTGCTATAAATATGCCTCATAATTTTCAGAAGACTAGGCTTCAGGTGGTAAGCATACAATAGAGTATACAGATGTTGTATTACAAAGCTGTCCACCTGAAATTTATATAATGTTAATAACCAATGTTACCACAATAAATTTAAATAAAAATGGCAAGAAAAATGAAAAATACATCAATGAGATTAAGAGCAGATTTATACTACGAAAGATTAATAAATTTGAAGACAAAGCAAGAAAAAATTATCCAAAATTAAGCATGGCAAGAAAAGGACTGAAAAAAAGAACAGATCATACATGACCTATATCAAAGGTCTAATATACGTGCAACTGGAGAAACGGGGAGAGAGATCATTAATGAAATAATGGCAGGAAAAAAAAAAAGATCAAAGATCCAAGATTCCACCTTGAGAAACTAGAAAAAGAATGGCAAATTAAATGTAAAGTAAGCAGACGGAAGGAAACTGTAAATAACAGAAATCAATGAAATAGGAAAAAAAATACTAATGAAACCAAAGTGTAGTTCTTTAAAAAAAAAAAATCAACGAAGTTGATACACATCTGGCCAGTCTGATAAGAAAAAAAATTAGAGAACGACCATATTAACAGTCAATATCAGGAACAGAACAGGGTATATCCCTACAGATCTTACATACATTAAATGGATAATAAGGGCATGTTATAAACAACTTTATACTAATAAATTTGACAATTAGGATGAAATACATAAATTCCTTGAAAGATACAACTATCAAAGCCTAGTCAAAAAGAAATAGATAACCTGAATAGCATTGTATCTGCTAAAAAAAAAAAAAATTCAATTCATAGTTACATAAGTCTTCCCACAAAAAAAACTCCAGGCCTAGATGGTATCAACTGGAGAGTTCCATCTTAAGGAAGAAATAATAGCAATTTTATACAAACTTTTCCACATAATAGAATGAGGAACATATCTCAATGCATTTTATGAGGCCAGCATTACCCTGAAATCAAAACCAAAGAGGTTACAGGAAAGGAAAACCACAGACCAATATCCCTCATAAACAAAGAAATGAAAAATCCTTAGCAAGTCTAATCTAGCCATATATATCATGACAGTAGAATTTATCCCAGGAATGTAAAGTTATTTAAATGTTTAAAAATCAATGTAATTCACCATATATAACTGAGTAAGACAGAAAAATTACATGATCATCTCACTTGATTAACAAAAATATCCCTCCATGATTAAAAACTCTCAGCAAAGTATGACTAGAAGGAAGCTTCCTCAACCTGAAAAACAACATCCATGAAAAAACCAACGGCTCATATGTTAATAGAGAATGTGTGAGTGCTTTCCCCTTAAATATCAGAAAAGTAAGGATGTTTGCTCTCACCACTTCTATTTAGTATTGTGCTAGACTTTCTAGCCAGTGCAACAGGGCAAGAAAAAAAAAAGACATAATATACATTGGAAAGGAAGACATAAAACTGTCTTCATTCACAATTTGATGGTCTGTGCAGAAAATTCTATGAAATTTAATCTTAAGAAATTTTTTTCAAAAGCTACTAGAACTAAGTACGTTTAGAAATGTTGCAGGATACAAGGTCAGAATACAAAAATAAGTTATATTTCTATATAGTAGCAATAAGCAATTAAAAACTTTAAATATCACTTCTGATATCTTTAAAAAATATAAACTACTTAAGGATAAATTTACAAAACATGTGCAAGATCTATATGCTGAAAACCATAAAACACTAAGAAACTAAGGATCCAAAAAAATAATGAGATATAAAATGTCCATGGATTGGAAGATTCAATATTGTTATGATGTCAATTCTTCCAAATTGATCTAAAGATTCGATGTAATGCCAATCAATCCCATCTGGCTTTTTCATAGAAACTGACACACTGATTCCAAATTTATATAAAAATGTGAAGGACCTAGAATAACTAAGATAATTTTGAAATAAAAGGAAAAAAAAGTTGAAGAATTTGTGCTACCTGATTTCGAGACTTAATATGAAGACAGTGCTAAAGACATCGTGATACTAGTGTAAATATAGACATATAGAGCAATGAAATAGAATAGAGAATCCAGAATAGACCCATACATACATGGTCAACTGATTTAAAACCAGCATGCCAAGATAATTAAATTATACAAAATAGGGTGGAACAATTGAATATCAATATGAAAAGAAATAAACCTCAGTCCTGACACCTCACTTCATATATAAAAACTAACTCAAAATGGATCATAGGTCTAAATGTAAGAGCTAAACCGTAACATATCTGGAAGAAAACATAGGTTAGACAAACCTTGGGTTAGGCAAAGGTTTCTTAAACACACGAAAATGTGAATCGTGAGAGAAAATTAACTGAACTTTAAAGAAAAAACTTCTGTTCTTTGAAAGATGCTAAAAAAATAAAAAGGCAAGCCATACAATAGGCGAAAATATTTGCAAAATACATCTTAGAAAGAACTTATATCCAGAATATATAAAGAACTCTTACAACTCAGTAAGAACACAACCAACCCAATTAAAAAATTGGCAAATATGAACAGACACTTCACCAAAGATATACAGATGGCAAATAAGCGTGTGAAAAAATGTTCAATATTATTAGTCATCGGGGAAATGCAAATTAAAATAACAACTGAGATACTACTGTTCACTCACAAAAATGGCTAAAGTTACAAAGACTGACGACACCAAGTGTTACTAAGGATATAGAATAACTACAAATCTCATACATTGCATGTAGAAAGGCAAAATGGAAAGCCATTCTGGAAAGCCGGTTGACTATTTCTAATAAAGTTGAACATACACTTACCATAAAACCCAGAAATCTCATTCCTAGGTGTATGTTCTAGAGAAATACAAATATATGTCCAAAGGCTTGTATGCCAAAGTTCATAGCAGCTTGATTCATAATAGCTCAAAACTGGAAACAACCCAAATGTTCTTAAACTGGCAAATGCAGAAACAAATCATGGTATAGCCACACAATAGAACAGGGCTCAGCAGTAAAAAAAAAAAAAAAAAGTACTGATACACTCAACACATGAAACTCAAAAGCATTAAATCAAAGAAGCCAGGGCCAAAAAAGCATGTGCAGTTATGATCCATTTATACAGAAAGCAGTCCAGTTATTGCCATGGGCAGGAGGAGGGAATTAGCTGCAAAGGGGGAGAGAACTTTCTGAGATGATGGAAATGCTCTATATCATGATTTATACAACTCTCCATATTTGTCAAAAGTCATCATACCATATACTTAAAATTAGTGAGTTTTATTGTATATATACTATACTTCAGTAATAAAGATGATTTAAAAATTTTTTAAAGATCTCTTTTCTGGGCTGACAGCTAACAAATGAGAAGACATTGTTTACCTTCCCAGTCCTCCATGTAAGGGGCCTCCTCAGCTTCTTTCTCTGGAGTGGATGTGTCAACGAATTTTCCTTCTTTCATGACCTTGGTGATTTCTCGGAGCTGATGCAGCAACCGTTTTTCTTGGTCAGAAGTCACAGTCTGTGCTCTGCTTAGAAATATCAGATAATTGAGCCATTTAGTGGTAAGTGTTCCTAGGCAATGAACATAAATGCCACTGTGACCCATCAGACTATGAACTGAAGAAGCCTATCTGTTCCATATTCAGCTAATATCTTACATTCATGAGGCCTCTTACAGCTTTACTCTTTCCATCGGTACAGGAGCCCTGACTTGCCACAGCCACTCATTCACTCTGTGTAGCCCTTAATTCTTACAACAGCCCACTTTGCCGGGGGGAGGGGAAGGAACATGAGCAGCTGCATGAGCAGGCAGGCTAGGATTGGTTAGGTATGGCAGATTTCAAGATGCTAGAAAAATAAAAGGTCAAATCAGAAGATAAACTCATCAGGTTTTTGAATGCTATAAACCTACACAAATCATCTGAGTTCTGAATCCAGGAGTTAAGCACAGAAAGGATGAGAGCTTCTAACCACGCCATTCATGGTTAGAACAGAGTTCAGATTAGGAGAAGACTGTAGGCTACTGCCACACAGTACAATATGCCTCAAGGACTGGGTGGTCTCATCTTTCCCCAGGTCCTTCTCTCTTAAGCCCAGCCAAATGACTTCCAAAACTGAGTCCTTTGTTCTGACCTCAATACCCAAATTTCCTATTGCTACTGTATATTATATATGGATGTTCTGAAGGCACCTCATCATATTCAAAGCTGAAGTGAGAACCCCTATCCCAAGCCTTATTTTCTTTGTCTTGTGTTTTTTATCTTAGTTGATGCCATAATTTCCTTCCAGTTTGGGCTGTAAGTCTCCAACTCATCTTTATCTTTCTTTTCCTCTTCATTGTGCTTACCTAGTTAGTAATTTTCTCCTTTAGAGAACCAAACCCTCTTCTGCTCACAGTACAAAGGTTAGGGTGAAGCCATCCATCTCCTCACCTCTCCTTCAAGGGTAGCAATGTGGCCCATGGCCAATTATCACACTCCATCACCTTGGCTGACTGACTGATTCAGTGATATATGCATACAGGACCCAAGCTGGGCCAAGTGTACTTTCTCCTAAAACTGGATCTTGAATCCAGTGAAGCCTGATCTGAAAACTTTTCATATTAACTGATCCCACTATAAGGGTAAATTTTCTAAAGTGCAGCAGATCATGACATTTTTCTTCTAAAGCCTTTAAGTGGCACCTACTGTAAAGACAATGAATTCCAAACTTCTCGGCCTACCCTTCAGGGCCTTCCAGTCTGGCCCCCATTTACTTTTCTGTTTCTTTTCTTTCATGACTTACCTCTACTCATTTACCCTATCCCTGGTCTACCCCACTCCAGATACTTAGGACTACTTGCTGTTCCAAACACATGCCTTGACTCTCTCACCTTGTTTGCTACTTGTGCTACCCTTTCCCTCTGAAACATTCTTTCCTCAAATTCTGCTAGAGGAAACCCTTCCACCATGTGAGGCTTATTCAGATTCCCCTTTTTCCATAAGACATGCTGTAAGACAGAGGAACTCTCCCGCCACCCCCCGCCCACTCAAAGATGTCCACATCTTAATCCCTGAATTCTATAATTATGTTACCTTATATGTCAGGAGACTTAAGGCTACAGAGGGAATTAAGGTTGTTAATCAGAAGGACTTAAAAAAGAGATTATCCTGGATAATCTGGGAGGGCATAACATAATTACCAAAGTCCTTAAAAGTGGAAAAAGAGACAGAAGAGGTCAGAGTAATATGTTGTGAGAAGGCCTCGACCTACTATTGCTGACTCTGAACATGGAAAAAAGGGTCCATGAGCCAAGGAATGTGGGCAGCTTCAAAAATCTGTAAAAGGCAAGGAAACGGGTTCTCCTCCAGAGCCTCCAGAAGGAAATGCAATCCTGCCAACACCTTGATTTTAGCCCAATGTAGGATTTCTAACATACAGAACTGTAAGATAATAAATGTGTGTTGTTTTAAGCCATTAAGTGTGTGGTAAATCATTACAGCAGCCATAGAAAACTAATACACATTCCTAGAACACTTTCTCTCTGAGATGCAGTTCCTTATACAGAAATAATACCTCCACTGACAACCATATAGGGATGTACAGAGCAAATCAAAATAGGTACTAAGGAAGATATTCTTATTATTGCTAAAAAAAAGCCTGCTTTAAAGTACTGTCTTTAGATTTAACTCATTCATTTTTTTCAAAATATAATGACATTGTCAATATGTCAGCACTGGAAATATAATTTGGACAATGTAAAGTCCCTGTCTTCAAGAAGACATTACAGGACATTAGGGAAGACAGAAAAGTTAATAGAAGATCAGAAAGTAATGCAATGCTTATAATATCCAACAAACCTAGGTGGTGTAGGCACACAAAGAAGGAATGCATAACCAAGTTTGGGTTGAGGGAAGGGCTCTCAGAGAAAATGATATCTAAGTTGAGACCTATAAGACAAATGAAAGTTAAAATAAGTGCCTGTGAGTTGGGGTGGGTGGAGACACCCAAGCAAAGAAAAAAAATATATGCGAAATCCTAGAAGCAAAAGTGTACAGGTATTTTAGAGCAGCGGTCCCCAACCTTTTTTGGCACCAGGGACAGGTGTTCATATGAGAATCTAATGCCTGATGATCTGAAGTGGAGCTGAGGCGGTGATGCCAGCACTGGGGAATGGCTGCAAATATAGATGAAGCTTTGCTCTCTTGCCCGCCACTCACCTCCTGCTGTGCAGCCCCGTTCCTACCAAGCTACGGACTGGTACGGGTCCACAACCTACGGGGTTGGGGACTTGTTTTAAATAATAGCAAGCAGTCAGTGTGGCTGGACCACAGGTAGAGAGAGTGATGAAGATAAAACAATAGAGATATGCAGGGCCATGTCACTTAGGACCATGTAAGCCATGTTAAAGAGTCTGTACTTTATCAAGAGCCATAAGGACCTATTGAAGGATTAAAATAAAATACATAACCCATCTGTTTGAGAAGCAGAAAGTGAACTGAAGGGAGGCAAAATTAGAGGAAAAAAACACATGAGACACATAGTTCTGACCTATGTCAAAAGTAAAGGTACTGATTCATTCACTCACTCATTCTTTTTTTCATTTCATCTAATGCTTTTTTAGAGCCTACTATGGGCCTGTGCTAGGCTGTGGGCATAATCCCTGCCCTAGGAGAGATTAGAGTCTTTTGCAGGGAAACATATTTATTAATTAGGAAGAAACGACAAGACAAGGTTATTGATGAGATATGGGAAGTGAAGGAAAAGGTGAATCAAGAATGACATCTAATTTCTGCTTTGGGAAACTAAGTAGAAGGTGGAGCCATCTGCTGAGATGGGGAACAGTAAAGGTAGGGTAGGTTCAGCTGGGAGTAGATGATGAGTCCCATTTTGGACATTCATTTATTCTAGGGACATTCATCATTTGATGGGGATAAGAGTAGGTATCTATGAGACATGTCTAGTAGGACCCCTTAATATAGAGGTCAGGATATGAAGAGAAGAATCTCAATTAGTAATGGCCACGATTTACTCTTCCACCATGATAATAGATGTGCAAATGCTTGTATCAAAAATGAGTATCTACTCTTTTTCAATAGTATTTACTTAGTACCTACTATTGAACATAGTGAACAAAACTGAGAAATCCTGCTCTCAAAGGGTTTCTATCCCAAAAATGCATGCCAGATATCTACCATCCCCAACACATACTCAACATGCCTGTCAGGGCTGTCTGCGGCCAAGTGGACACTCTCACTTCTCTAGGAAGGAAATTTTACTGATCATAAGGACATAAATGAGGACACCTCAGTTCTGATTTCTAGATCCTTAACCTTTGTGTCCTTGGATATTGTACTTAATATCAGACATATATGGCACAATATCAACCTTTCAGGAGGCTTCATTACAATATATGTAAACACATGTTCACATATTAATATCAGATATATATGGCACAATATCAACCTTTCAGGAGGCTTCATTACAATATATGTAAACACATGTTCACATATTGCCCACAAGTGAAAGCTGTGTGAAAAGTTTTATTAGATATTAAAAACCTTTCCCATATTTTGATTCTTATATAGCATTAAGATGAAATTTCAGAAATTGTAATTGTATATTTCTGAAATTTTAAGCAAAATCTTAGTTATGGAGTGCACATTACATAAAAAGACTTAGAAGGCTGCAAATGAACACATTTTGTCTTAAATCCTCTCCTTGACCCCTAGAAGCCTGGAAACATGAAAATCTTGATCTGACAAAAAAAATACTGGAGTATTTTGGGTTCTAATAATCATAGAAGCACAGACTTGTAGAAGAACGAATGCCACAGAAATTGAGGTTAAAGGATATAAGTTTAAAAAGAAAATGCAAAATATGGAGCTACCTAGCCCTTGCAGTTTTCAAGGTTGAAGTCTCTTAGGGCCTACCTGTCAGGATAAAAGGTGTTGGATTAAGGAGTCAGAGAGAACGTCACATCTCCATGTACTGGAAAATGAGAAATTTGGGAAAGAGAACCACATGCTATGCTCTTTTCAGGAGAAAAGGAACTGTTCCCCAGTTCCTGAGAGGTATGTTTTACACACCATCACTACGCGACAGGCTGAAATGACACCACATCCCAGCATCTTATGAGAAGTAAACATTGTGAACTAGGACCTGTGGCCCCAGAAACAATGAGATGGCACAACTCCAGGTACAGGTTGGTGACAACTCCTCTGCCTCTGCACATAAAACATGGAGGAGTAATCCCAGCACAAAGAGGACAAAGAGTTGGTTAAAGGTTACAGTACTGTGTTCCTAGCTTGGGCAGCGGACAGATGGTACACATGGACGGGATGGTGAGGTTCTTTGATTTGAGCTAAGGGAGTCTGAATGGGACTGAGTAATAGTGAGAAGATATACCTTCATGTGGTTTCTTATTCTAAGGCTCAAGGGTTGGGTGTCCCAGGTGGAAGGCCTTGCCCATAGGTATTCATCTATGGCTTTCATGACCCTTAGGTGTCTTCTGGGGCTTCAAATGGACCAGGGCCAGAGTACAGATATTTTTTGAGGCATGAGGGTCAATAAAAGCCTGGCAGTTCCCCACCCTGAGAGGCACAGGGTAAGGGCAGGTAAGATCAGAAACATATGGTTGCACAAATTGGTTTAGTCACAATCATAAATTCTCATATATTAGATAGTATATAAAAAGCATTTAGTTCAGAGCTTGTTTCTCACTTAAGTGCTCAATAAATATCAAATATTACACATTCACACAGATATGTATAGATAGGCACACATCTATACCACTTTGGGGAACATTCCAGATAGTCACTCTGCTTTCTGGACCAAAAGAAGGTCAAGGCTCCTGTGCTCATATAGACAAGGTTCATCGTCATAAATGTCTTTTCACAGCACTGTAGACATTGCAGGGAAAAGCCAAGACAAGAGACTGCAATCTGAAGATGTTCATTTTTCTCCTATCCAGCCAAAGAAAGGGAAAACTGGGACCAGAGAGCAAAGAAAAGGGCCTGGGGCACCAGTACCACCAGGGATGGCAAACAAGAGGCAAAGGGGGAGCAGCAGCTTCTGGGGCAAAGACGCCACAGTGAGTCCACAGAGCAACAGGAGGGACATTTAAACATATTCTCCTGCATGGGATTTTGCCTCTTGCTCCCGTTCTTCCATTCTTGTCAGAAAGGCCTTGCTCAAATGGAAGCCCTCTTTGTTCTCAATCACACATTCTGGTTTTTCCTTCCTGGCCTTTTTATATCCATGTTTTCATAGTTGTTGCCAGCTTCCATCAACTCCTGAAGCTACCTTTTCAGATCCATGGCCAGCTTGTAGCAAGAGGAGTGAATCTTTCCTGTGGGGCATCCTAAGGGGCTAGGTTGGCTCCTGATACCTACTTTACACGTATAACTCTGTTCAGGCATAGAAAACACAAAACACAAAATGCCTAATCTAATCATACTTGCTCTATTCTCTCATTTTGTCTCAAGTAGAAAGCATAACATTTAATAATCTGGCTTTACTTAAAATTATGCTTTTAGAAAGCCAGGAAATTGTCTTCCTTAAAAGCTAGTTATTTGACTCTGAAGGATTTGTTCACAAAGCTACTCACAATAATGGGTATAACACTGAACATATGCTCTTGAAAACTGAGATTGCTTGATAGCATGAAAATGGAAATGTTACATGAGAAATAATATGCAAATGACAATTAAAATGAAAGTAACTGGCCCAGAAATCAAAGAAAACCTAAAGTTTGAGCTGATTCTCTAAATGGGAAATACTCTGAGTCCTGAAAACCTACCTTTCACCATTAGGTCCCACTCTGTTGATTAATTTTTCCATGGCTTCCTCTGTCTCCTTCAGTTTTTCTTGCAGTTGAATAAGCTCAAAATTGGCTGAAAAACAAGGCATCAATCTAAGAACCATCAAACACAGCTCCCTAAGCTCTTTTCTGAAACATGGCTGGCTGTGACACTCTGTAGTAATCCAGGCTGGTCCTGAGATTCAGAGAAGAGACTAAGAGATTCTCTAGCTAATCCAATCAGGATACAAAAGGTACTGTTGTCTGAGCACCAAGAACTAAGGATATTTAGTGAGTGATAAACAAATCACTCTCTTACACAAAGGGATACAGCAGGACCAGGAAAGAAAATACCTTGGAACAAAAAGCATACCCCTACACAGTTATCCAAGAAGAAATGAAGAAGATAAATATACCTTCTCTCCTGCTTTCTTTCTATTAAAATATAGTTAATATTCAATATTATATTAGTTTCAGGTGTACAACAGTTTTTTAACATTAATATACCTAATTTAAGTGATCACCATGCTACGTCTCATAATATTCTGTCATCATACAAGGTTATGATGTTATTGACTCTATTCCTTATGCTGTACATTACAGCCCCGTAACTTATTTTATAACTGGAAATTTGTACCTCTTATTTACCTTCACCTTTTTTGCTCTTCCCCACACCCCCTTCCTCTCTGGCATCCATCTTTATGCCTATGAGACTATTTCTGTTGTATACCGTTTGTTCATTTTTTTTTTTTTTAGATTCCACATATAAGTGAAATCATACGTGTCTTTGTCTGACTTATTTCACTTAGTATAAGAGCTCCTAGGTCCATCCATGTTGTCACAAATGGCAAAATTTCATTCTTTTTTATGGCTGAGTAATATTCCACTGTATATATATGTACCACATCTCCTTTTACCCATTCATCTATCGATGGAAACTAGGTTGTTTCCCTTCTTGGTTATTTTAATCCAAATGATGCTGAAGGGTAAAGTACCAAACCTGCAATGTACTTTAAAAAAGGAGTCAAGGCCCTGAAATGAACAATATTTTACCTGCACCTAAGGCTGAAAACATATCAGGAAGGCAACAGTTTAAATGTTATGCTTCTTCAACTGAGGAAGTCTTGAACTAGAGCTGAGATCTCTCTGCCCAAGGTTTTCTGCCCAAGTAGTGTGGAATGAAGTGCTATAATTCTCCCTTCCAGAAGTAGTTTTCTCAGCAAGGGTCAGTAGAGAACATAGCTATCTATTGAAACTAACATTAAAATGAATGTTAATTTTAGAACAGAAAAAATAAATCATTAAATCCATATATGAAATGAACTTTAACGCAGTAGGAAAATAAAATGTTCATTATGTAGATAACCTAGTTTTTGTTTCATACTCAGAAATATTTAGAGTCATTGTAAATGTAATACATGAAAGACCTTTTAATACTTCTGGAACAAATTCTTACTTGTGCAGTTAACATCTATAAAGTCTGTAGAGGACTGTGCCACATAAATGCTTAAGTTATTTTTATTTTCTTCATGACTCAAAATTGAAGGCAAAGAAGCTGATATATAACTGCTACTATGTTACAAAGCAGCTGCTCTTAGGAATTCATTTACTGCTTTCTGTTTTAAATGCATTATGTGACAAGATACAGAATTTGCTACTTATTAAAGAGTCCATTAATCTTTTAAAAATTATTTTACTGATACATTTATCATCACTGTTAGACACTATCTCAATTAAGAACACAGTAGCTTTCTTAAAGAAATATTTAAGATTTCCAAAAAGGATGCAGAATGTAACTGGAATATCTATTTCCACAGAGAATCTGGAGTAAACTCAAAAACCAATTATAGCTGAGGGCAGATGCTTCCGTGGTTCAGCCTTGCTTCATTTTGCTAAATTTTTTTTTTTTTTTTTTTTAAAGATTGAGGCTTCGTTATCCACAGGATAAAGCAGTTTGGCCTCCAAGGCCTTCAATAATATGGCTTAACCTACCTACTCTTCAGGCCTTCTTTCTCACAGCTGCCCTATGTCAGGCTATGTCCCACTCGAGCCATGCCATCTATCTGACAGGTCCTCCTCCATGGACACCCAGCTAGAAATGACTTCCTATAAGGCTTTCATCAAATCCTTTCTTTCTAGGTAGTAAACTTTTGACAAGTTTTTTCTGACATCCATGCTAGACTACAAATTCTTAGAGGGTAGAACAATGCCATATATATTTCATTTCCCCAGGGAGCACAGAATATTTTAGTTAGTTAGTAAATATTTGATGATCATGTTTAAAGAGCCAGAAGGGTTAAACTCAGTCCCTAGATCTAATAACTGACTTTGGCAATGACTGAATCTCTCTGCCTCACTTTTCCTATCTGCGAAATAAAGATATCTGCTACCAATATTCTGAAGTTAGGAAATGAGAAGTAACCTATTCCAAATGTGAAATATTAATTTGTTAACATATAAAAAGTGAACTGGCAGTTTTGTACTTTTTGTAACTATCTTTCCTTAAAAGCCCAACATGAATATGGAAACTTTTGAGAACTCCCAGAGTTAAGGTAAAAGTGGCATCAGATTAATTTGGGGCAACGTTTGAGAAATGCTTTTAAGACAGAGCCACAGACTGTCCAGCTGTCTGACTCAATAAAAACTTGTAACTCTACTGAAAGCAGCACTTACTAATTTTTCTGTGGGTGTTTCCAGGTGTAGCAGTAGAACATTTCCGATCCTCTGCAGCAGTTTTCCCCTTTGAAAGCTGAGAATTGAAGGAGGTACAGCACATCAACAGCAACTCAGAACCGCAAGGTCATGGACCCCCTCATATTAAATGAAAAAAAAAAAAAAGAGAGAAAGAAAAGGTTGGGAGACAAAAATCAAATCCAATTAAATAGCAACATTAGAGAAACATCTCAAAAAAATAAAAAAGGCAATAGAAGGTTTCCAACTAAAAAAATATCAAGGCACAAGGAAAAAATCTCTCTACAGGTCATCTGCCTTGCCCATGCTCATCTAAGACTCAACTCAGGCTGCCTGCAGGATTCCTGGGCAAGAAGGAACTTACTCCTTACCCTGGCTAGAAGGACAAAGTGAAGCTCCTACCTCCACTTCACAGTGTCTAGGCCCATGGCCTGGCAAAACCTACCTGGAGGTGGAACTTAGGAGTCTGCTAGTAAAGGACCCAAACCATATGTCCCCAGAGCTAGGAAATATCAGGCATAGTTTCAGTTCTGTTTCAAGAGAATTACTGAAGATATTAAAAACAGCACTTCATACTCCTGGAGGTGAGGGGGGGGGGTGGTGCAGCGAGGACAAATGGACTTTGATACTAGTCATTATCTGGCCTCACAGTGGCTACCTGGAAATCATTGTGCCAATCCTAATAATAAAGCTCTTCTTAGAAAAGCTTTATGCCTTTTCGGTTTGCAAAGATGCCCAGTCAAAAAGAAATTGGAGAAGTGGGGGCTTTGAACTTTATCGCTAACTGGATTTGGAACTTGAAGATCCAGGTTTAAGTCCTGGTTTCGCAGTTTTAAGTTGTGAATTCTGGGGCAAATAATTTAAGCTCTGAGTGAACATTTTCTCATCTATAAAACTGAGATAACAGCTATCCTAAATACCTTATGAAGAAGAGACAAGGTTTAAAGAGATGACAGATTGAAAAAGGGTTATAAACTAACTGTAAAGGGTTTTAATGCTGAAATGTTTTTATTAGGATATTAGATGTAATATGTATCAGATGTCACTGATGTAATATGATCAAGATAATTCCACTTACCTTAAATAGAATGTATAGTATATATAAAAAAATCCCCAAACCATAGATTGGAATGATCTGCCCCACCAGGCCTCTTCCACTGCCTCCTCCTCCTCCAGTGCCTCCGCCTGATCCTTTGGCTTTTGCAAAGGCCTCTGCAAGGTGAGGCCTCTGGAAACGGGCCCCAGGACTTTGGCCATCTGAGGGTGCCTGCTGATGATGCATCATGGGTGGAAATCGACCCAACTTTCCTGAGAAAATAAATTGATCAGTCTATTTCTTCTACTATTTTAAATACGGCTATTATGAAAACACTTCATGCATTGATGTACAAATAACAGAAGCCAACACAAACAAGTTTAAGAAAAAACGGGAATCTGATTTTAAGGACACAGCGGTATCACACAGATAATATGATGTGACAATTTCTAGTTCACCAAACTCATTTTTTCCTCTTCTTTTTGGGTCCACAGCTAGACAACATTTTCCAGCTTCCATATAATTAAACATGACCATGTGACTGAGTTCCAGCCAAAGGAATGTGGGGGAAATAAGCTAGTTCAAGGCCTGACCTATAAAACTTCCCATGTACTAAACTCCCTGTTCATTTCCCTTCTGCAAGCTGGATCCTAGCACCTGGGGAGACCCTGGAAGTCATGTGATGAAAATGGCAGAGCCTCTATCGATTTGGGTTCTTGGGTAACTGTGTGGCACAGAGCTTTCTACTGCTGCCACCACAACAACTTAGAACCATCTAGACCTGTTTATGTGAGGAGAAATAAACTATTGTGTTAGGGCCATTATACACTTTAGAGTCTGTTGTAGCAGTTAGCTACCTCTAACTAATACAGATAAGGAAATGCAATCTGGTCTCCAAAGAGAACAGAACTAGAAACTGGAAAGCCATCAGAATCCAGGACAGCTACTCTCACATTCTGTCTCATCTTTCTCCCTCTCTATGGGACTACAAGCCTTTTTTTTTTTTCTCTATTTCTCTATGTATATCTTTTTCATTCTCCTTTCTCTGTAGACCATTTCATTAGCTTGAGGACATGGAGAAAGATGGTCATCCCAAAATCCTTCATTTGCATGTCCTTCAAGAGGCCAACATAATTCCAAATTCCTTGGAAGAAGACTCTGAATACCCTGCTTATATAGATATGCATCCCTTTCCAGTCAGTTGCAGCTAAGCAGACAGGATTCATGTAGTACAAACAGGGTCACAGGCCCATCCCTGTGAGTGAAGAGCAGGGCTTAGAAAAGGAGAGTGTATCAGGTTTTTTGCATTTTATTCCTCCATCAGAAGCAGCCAAACATTAACACTAACTACTAGTCCTACTAAGAGCCAGAGGTGAAAAAAAAAGGAAGATATCTCTTTGAAAGGTTATCTAAACAGGCTCGTGTGGAAAAACCAGAGGGAGATAAAATTATAGAGCAGAAAACACTAAGAGCAGAAAGATTTCATAAATTAGACTAAAATACAAACTATACAGTGAAAAACTGTTGGATTTGAATTCTAACAAAATTATATTTTTTGTTCAATAAAGACTACCATGAATAGAGTTTAGATGACAGACAAGGAAAGCTTTTGCAACATCAAAAATTAACAAGAAATTAAATACCTAGAATGGATAAGAAATTCCTACAGTTCAATGTAAATATCACAGGAAACCCAACCAAAATACAGTCAAAGATATGTGTGGGGAACTCACAGAAAAAAAGCTTAAATAATTTTTAAGAAGTGTAAAAAATATATAAAGATGATCAAAGTAAAACTAATGAAATCTATTAATTTAAAACAATGCAAAAGCACTTATACCCATCAGAAGGGAAAAATTAGAATGGTGGATAATAGCCATAACTGACAAAGATGTGGGGAGGCAAGAACTGTCATCATGCACTGTGGCTGAGTATAAGAATGTGAAACATAGAGCCATTCTATTAAGTGATCTGACTATACCTAGCAACATTAAGTATGCCCTATAGTACAGTAATCCCACTTTGGTGGATAAATTCCAGAGAAATTCTCAAGTAAGGCTGTCTATATCTAAATTTGAATTATAGACTTTATAGACCTATGTGAGAAAGTTTGCTGTGATGACGATGCAGCAGTGGGCTTAAAGAAACTTGCTTTCCATAACTGGAAGAATGGAAAAAAACAATATGGAGTAGATACAAATATGGAATTCTATGTAGTTTTTAGAAATCACACTTAAGATGTACCTACAGCAAACATGAGTACATCTTAAAAAGCACAGCATTGAGTAAAAAAATGAGCAAATACCATTATGCAAGCTGAAGACACCCATAATTATACTACATATCTTTCCAAGCAAATATGTACAGGTATAAGGATGTAAAACAAATACATTAGAGTGGGTGCATATGAATGGAGAAGGGAATGGGCATGTGGATTGAAGAGAAAGTGTTAAAAAGAAAATAACAAAACAAGAAAGAAACTTTGCACTGATGTTAATAAGGAGCTATGAACTAAGGACTATCTTTAAGTCAACTATCTACTCCTGAGGTTTGAAAGACGGAGGGAGCGCGGGCAGGGAGGTGAGACAGATAGCCACTGCACCTGGGAGCCGCCTTCTGCCTTGAATCCTCTCTCCCAAGCTCCACTCCTCCTTTTGTTCCCAATATTGACTTACGATGACATGAAAATAATGAGAAGAAATGCTTCTTTTAAAGAGAAAGTCAAAAACGGAAGCACAACTTCAGATAGAAGAAAGAAACCAGGTCACCACTCCTTATGCTGGTGACTATGTTGCTGTTAAAGTGTCAAGGATCTAAATATATTAAATGGTGAGTACTGTCTTTAAGGTTATAATGTACCTTCAAAAAAATGCCTAGCCAGCATACAAGCAGCTAACTTTTCTCTTGAGAGAATCAGATATATTGGGTGGCTAGTGTTCAATAAACTAGATTTAATATTTGTAGTAATATATTGAACTTCATTTCATTGTACTGAGAACACTCTTCAAAACTTGACATAAAACAAAAAATTAAAATCAGGTCCTGGCACAAAAAGCATTATTTTGCATTTCTAAAATTAAAAAATGATGATGCTAAATATTACATATCTCCCCCCAAAACTTTTATAGATCTGTCAGCCAGGAAGATTTATTGGACAGCCATTACGTTCAGCACTCTGCGCTACAGGGAGGAAAGGAGGAGAGCCATAAACGAAATAGAAAAAAATAGTTCCAACATGGAATAGTGCTTTTAAAAAGTAGCATATCCAAAACAAACGACAAAAAAGGGCAAGATATCATGGGCCTTATTACTAGACAAAATAAATGTCTACCGAAAGAATGCAAAAAGAAAAAAAGAGAGGAGTCGGATGGGATCAATCATTGAAGGGAATGAGACTCAGAACAGCAGAGAAGCACAGGCTCATCCGGAAGAAAGAAGAATGTGTGCAATGAGAAAGAGATGAGAAGAATAACAAAGAATAAATCAGGTTAACTACCAAATTAGTTTGGCTCAATTTAGGGAAGTAAGGAGAGGAAAGTGGAGGTGGGGTATTTAAATGCTAACTTGTGGTATATAAATTTGATACTGTGGGTCCAGGATCAGGGAAATAACTTAATGAGAAAGATGTCAGAGGGGGATTAATCTAGCAATTGACTATAGGTACTGTCTAATATGGAGAGAAATCAGGGTGTGGTAAATCAGCAAGGCAGTAATTCAGTTCTGAGGTGCAAGGGCCTGAGGTGCTGGCTATAGTATAAAGAAGAAAGGATAGGTTCAAAGGTTCTTACCATGTAAGTAATGATCAGCAGCATTTACTACAGAACAGAACACAGGACTAATAGGGGAGAAGGTCAGATAACTCTAAGGTCAGGAGATTAAGATACTAAGAGAAGACAATGAAGAAACTGGGAGAGCTTCTGCTGGGAAGACTGAAGACACATTTTTCACATGCTAAATTCCAGGTGTTGGTGGCACATTCAGAAGAAATTGTTATTAGATTATAGCTGGGCTTGAGAAGAGACTCTACGCTACCTAAGTGACAAAGCTGATTAAAATAAGTAAGTGAATGGTTCTACTACCAAAAAGGCTGGAGGGATATGTGTACTTCTACGCAAAGAGAGAAAGAAAACAGATGGTCAGAGGACCAGAAACAAATCAGTATCATAAAGGTCAAAGGAGGACAGACTTGAAAGCAACTGAGAAAACTGATAAAAACTAATGGCAATTCCTGTTTTTAGACGCAATGTATTCTTGAGAAAAAGATAGCCATCATATGAAACCCTATTTACCTGTTTAGACAATAACAAATGTACTACAAGGCATCACAAAATCTTCAGTCAGAAGGCGCCTTAAAAGTCATCCAGTCTTTCAACAAATGATATCCACATGCAAAAGGATGAAGTTGGATGCCTAACTCCACCATATTAAATTTAAAAATTAACTCAAAATGAATTACAGACTTAAATATAAGAACTAAAACTATAAAACTCTTAGAAGAAATCAAGCATAAATCTTCACTACCTTGGATTAGGCAATGGTTTCTTAGATATGACACCAAAAACAGAAGCAACCAAAGAAAAAAATAGGTAAATTGGATTTCGTCAATTTCTAAAAAAAAAAAAAAAAAAAAACTTTTGTGCTATAAAAGACACCATCAAGAAAGTGAAAACAAACCACTGAAAGGGAGAAAATATATGCAAATCATATATGATAAGGGTCTAATATCCAAAGTATAAAAGAACTCTTACCATTCAACAATAAAAATAACCCAATTTAAAATAATCAAAGGCTCTTAATAAACATTTCTCCAAAATATGTAAATGGCCAACACACATATGAAAAAATGTTCAACACTAGTAGCCTTCAAGGAAATGCAAGTTAAATCCACAATGAGATACCACTTTACATCTACTAGGATGCTGTGATCAAAAAGATAATAAGTGTTGGTGAGGATGTGGAGAAAATGGAACTCTCAGATTCTGATGGGAATGTAAAATAGCACAATTGCTTTGAAAAACAGTCTAGCGGTTCCTTAAAAGGGTAAACAAAGTTTCCGTATGACCCAGCAATTCTACTCTCAGGTATATACATATACCAGAGAATATGCTCTCACAATACCTTGTATAAAAATGTTCACAGAGGCATTATTCACAATAGCCACATGTCCATCAACTAACAAATGGATAAACAGAAATGGTATATCCATACAGTGGAATATGATTTTGGCCATAAAAAGGAATGAAGTACTGGTAGAATATGGATGAATTTTGAAAACATTATGCTATGCGAAAAAAAAAGGCAGTCATGCAAGACCACATATTATATGATTTCATTAAGATGAAATGTCCAGAACAGGCAAATCTATAGAGAAAGAGATTAGTGGTTTCAGGGCTAGGGTGGGTAGGAAAAAAGGAGAGTGACTACTAACGTGTATGGGGTTTATTTTTTTGTGGTGGGAGAGATAAAATTTTCTGAAATTGATTGTGGTGACGGTTGCATAACTCTGTGACTATATTGAAAATCACCAATTGTACACTTTAAATAGGTAAATTACATGGTATGTGCATTATACCTCAATAAAGCTGTTTTTTTAAAGTCATCTAGTCTAATCACTGGTGTTCAATATCGTCACCTCTCTTAAATGGTGATCCTGACTTTGCTGAATCCCATCAAACAGGAAACTCAGTACTTCCCCCTGGGAAGCTCATGCCAACCCTATATAGCTCTGTTAGAACTGTCTTGAGTTAATGAGTGAGTAATGGGAAGAAATGAAAATAAAGGATTTCAAAAAGCAACACTGACTGAATTATGTATCAAGAAGCAGAAAAACATGATTGATAAAGAGATTGTGGACTGGAATCAAAGAGAAGCTGAAAAAGTAGAGAGTATTATTTTCAAAGGTAAGAGAAGGAACTGGAGTGTAGTGGAACAGATAGGCTACGTGGTAAAAATAGGTTTTATATACTAGGAGAAATCTAAGCATTTTATATTTGGTGTAATAGTTCACGTATTTACTGAACATTTATTGTGCCAGGCACTGTGCCAGACACTGAGATTAAAATGATAAATGAAACAGAGTTCCCGTCTTTAAAGAGTTTACAGACAAGTATAGTTATAACATGGTAACTGTGCCTTAACCATCAAATCCAAAGACTTTTTCCTCTTATGGAAATTCACTCTTATGACGCCTCTGTAACACAAGAAAGTGAATACCACCTACTATTCATTCAATAAATACTGCATTAATCTGAATAAATCCTTGTCAAACTATGTCACACCACTCTACTGAGCTCTTTTTTCCTCCACTGACTGGTCCTTCAACCTACTTCTCAGACTCTTGTACTGAGGTTCTTTCTTAATCCTCTCTCCTCAAGATTGTCTCAACCTCTGTTCTTTCTTTATCCTTTTTCCTTTGGCAAACTCATACATTTTCAAGGCATCCAATATAATTCCCAAAATGTATAGCTCTAATTCTGACCCTTCCCTCTAGCTCTCATTTCTTATCTCTAAACCTCATTAGTATACATAGATCATTTTATATGTCTATCATCACAAACATAAAAATGTTCATTTTACCTTCCAAAACCTGTTCTCCTCCTGTATTTCTTTTGTTCATACAGTCATTCTCTCAGAACTTTAGGCTTGAGACCTATAACCTCCGCCATCTGTGACCAAGGGTATACTTGGGATGGCAGGCTGGGGTCAGGATGCTGAATGTGGAAGATTTTTCTTTTTGTAAAGTAACTGTCCTCGACAGGGAGCAACCTCACTTCTTGGATCTTGACACCACCATGTTTCTAAGAACTGAACAGCCAGGAATGTTTAAAAAGTCTATGACTACAAAACATTAAGAAATGTCTAGTTGATTTTAAAAAAACTTAATGAAATCCTCCAAGTTTACAAAAAAGTATAGATGATAATATATGAGCACTTGTGTACCTACTTACCAAGCAGATGTAACTGGAACCCCTGTGTATTCTTCATACCATCTTCTCTGAGATAGCCACAACTCTAAATTTGGTGATTATTAGAGGTTTGCTTTTAGACTTTAGTACTTAAGTATATATCTGCAAACAATATACAATATTATCTTGAGTATTTATATTATGAATGGATAGTAGTGATGGTTGGATAACAATGCTGATTTAATTAATGTCACTGAACTTTATACCTAATGGTCTAAATGATAAATTTTATGTTTTGTATATTTTACCACAATTTAAAAAAAAATTTTTATATTATGGTATCATACTGCACTCATGCTTCTGCAACTTCCCTTTTGTACTTTTTTTCTGGGTAGGTATCAATATTTTGGTCTAGAAATGTACCATGTTGATACATTAGCTCTAGTTCATTCACTCCAACTACTATACAGCATCTTCTAGTTATCCATATTGCAATTTATTTACCCAGTCTCCAGCTGATGAACACTTAGGTTATTTTCCATTTTTTCACTATTATAAACATTCTGCTTTATAGCTACATTACAAACAGGATTTGTGGTTTTTAAAAAATATGCTAAAAAAACAACTAAAGGGATCAGAACATTAAAGATATTAGAACATTAAAACTGTAGAGTTCCAAAATAGAAAACAGCTGTTTTCACTATCTCTATATGTACCTATGTAATCCCTAAAATGGGACTTGACTTAATCCTAATTGTTTATTGAAAACTATTCCCATATTTAGGTTCATTTAATTATTAATATTTCACTTAGCATATCATTTAAGCTTGACTAAAAACAATGGATTTTACAGAGTGAAGCTCTACTTTCTATTGTTAATAACCATCCCTATTGCTAAAAAAAAAACCTCCAGCACTGTTAACAAAAGAGCTTCCTAAAAGCAGCATTTAACCATTTGCAGCATTTCATTCTTAGGGAAAATAAATAAAAAAACTGGATGTGTTTATATTTCTGATTACATAGTTCAAGAAAGATCTTAATGTCTAGTTCCTTAAGACATGAAAACCTCTCCTTAAATACTGAGGAAGTTCTAGAGGCCATATAAATTCAGCATTACTTAAAGTAGAGGCTGGGACAACAGCTGTTTCTTCTTCGCTAGTCTCCTCCAAGGGCCCCTTCTTATAACATTCCCCTCCTATCTAATTCCACTTTGCTGACCACTGCTTTGATATTTTCCACTAATTTAACGAGATCTTTCTTTATCATTTACCAACCTCTGTGCTCCAATTTATTCTACATATTACTAAAAGAGATATTTATATGTCTAAGTTGCTTAGCTAGGGCCTAGTCCATATACCCTACACCTGTTACCTATTACTGTTTTTTTACCAGACTAATCTTATTCTAACTGGTCTTGTCATTTCTCTGATTAAAAGCTTTCAGTGGTTCCCACTGATGACAGGAGGCTATGTTAAACAGGAGGCAGCAAAGTGAAGTTAAATGAGTGCCATCTTTTCGGTCAGTTATTAGCTAAGATGCTGGCTGTGCCTCCAACTATTTAAGTGGAGGTTAAATATATCTTTCTTGAGCTCATTTTCATTATCTGTAAAATGAGTATAATGATATCAACTTCCCAGGATTGTTACAGGATTACAGTATAACATACACAAAGTACCTAGCAGACACAGTAAGTATTTAACAAATTCTGATTTTCCCTCCCTACAAAAAGAATTCCTAAACAACTGAATTCCATAATCAAGTTCCAAAGTACCTTTTCACAATTCCTTCCCATTCCATACTCTTGATTCAGCCTAACTAGACTTCTCACCATGTTTGAGTCTGCCCTGTGATTTCTTGCCTCCATGCCTTTGTATGCCAATGGTTTTGCTTTTCTCTCTAATTCCACATATCTAAATCCAACCTATCCTTCAAGGCCCAGGCCAAATATTGGCCTTGTTCCAAAGCATTTTCTCATGTCACCCCACGTCCTTAGAACACATTCCTTGAACCTTTTTAATTGCACTTACCACACCTGGCTTTAATAATGAGTTATATTTGTGTCATATAGCCTCTACCTGAATGGACTGGGAAACAGAAATAGGTAACATCTTCCATTAAGCACCATTTCTACCCAATTTTATTTAGTGCTGACTGAAACCTACAGATCATATCTGAGAACAAGAAAAGCAGACTCTGAGATCCAGAAGCTGACCTGGTCCTATCGGCTGGGCCTTGGTGTTGCTATGAGCCGGTCTGGCACTCACAGTTAGGTCTTGGTGTTCTCCTGTTAAACATAAGCAATTTCAGGACATCAAATCAGACAAGGCCATTCTGTGACCACGATGGATCAAGACAAAAAAAAATACTCTGTAATCTGCCTGAACACAGACAAAACATGAACACTGTCCCAGCCAAATAACATCAAATAGCCCCCATTCCTATATAATGAGTGACTGTTGCTTCTTCACCAATTACAGCTTTAGCCTTCTTTAGTCTGCTCTCATTTTAGATAAACTCTATTAAGATACCCTATCATAGTTTTCCTCACTTCCTGACAGCTTCACAAAGCCTCAGATCTTTAAGCCTTCCTCAGAATCACCTAACACAAGCCCAAATCCAATAATAAGGCTTTTCAAACACTCTTACTGAGATACCACATGCTTCCCTATGATGTGCATTTTCCCTTGCTCCAAGTAATACACCTAACATTCAACTATAGGAGTATTCCTAGTGCTCTGCGGCTAGAAGACAAACTAAGAACTTCTTGTGTTTTCTTTATGCTTGGGACCCTACAGGGCGTGCTCTGGGTCTTGCATGCCGTACACTTTGTCAAACTGATCTAGATGACTTATATTGTGCTTGATGGCCTTTACTGGAATCTCAAGACTCAGCCCAGTCACTCTCAGGACGAAAAAGTTTTTCACTTTGTTATTCTGAGTATTTCAGTTTTGAGAATAGAAAAGGGCAATCAGAGTGACTGATCAAGGTGTTCCACACATAGCACACTGCTCCACGCCCACTCACCTATATGTTTCTGAACTTGAAAAAGTGCCTCATTTACATGCATTCACAGGATCTCAAATTGTCTCCTCTCTTCGCTGAACATTCTTTCAGAGTAGACAGCTAATGTTTCATTAGGAGAAAAGAAAACAATAAGGGACCAAAATAACCCATTTGTCCTCAGGCACTTACATACTAAAATATAAAGAGCTATTTTAAGATAACAAAGAATTAAGTATATATGTGTATTGTGTTATATATGTTTACACACAGATGTATGTGTACATATATATATTTTCACCTCTTAGAGAGCTCCCAAATCAGTGGGCATTATTTACTTGAGGAGAACATAGAGAGAACAAAAGAGTCTGAGCTATTCCAAAGAAGCAGGGCTGCTGGGAATGGGCTGGATGGGAACCTTATTTATAAGAATTTAAAGTGAGACACTTACTGGAAAACATGGGCAAGCAGGGTGAGCAGGAGAGGTGCCACAGGCCCAGCCAAGTGGAGGTGGTGCATAGGACCCCTTTGAAGCCAACTCTAGCACAAAAGCATCATTCTATCATCTTGGACGGCTTCAACTATCCTGGCACCTGCTCAGTCTCAGTCATCTGACTACTAACAAGTTACTGACCAAATGCTGACATTTTCATGGTCCACAGACACATAAGGTGAAAGGAGGGCAACTGCTAGTAGCAGTTGGGCAAAGAAGAAAATGGTTGGTGAAATGAAAGGAGAGCCACAGGAAAAAGATCATTTCAGTTTTGGGCTAAGAGACCAACTTAGTATTTGTGGCAACAAAGTAGGGGGTGTGTGTTACAGTCGCTAGGAAGGCAGAATTAAGAAGTTCTGAAAACGGACAAACAATTCCACGGCATGAGACCACCTCTAAGAAGAATGCTCTTAAAATGCATTTTTTGGGCATTTCAAAAATTCTCAAGTAGGATAGGCAGAGGAAAAAAACGTAGATATACAGGAAGCTCTTCTAAAAGAACAGAGGAAATATGAAGAAAAAGACACATAAGCAATCTGCACAAAAGAATGGCAAGACTTGGAAGAACCACACCAGAAGGCCACGGTCCAAAATAAATTAGGATTTACAAAAAGGACAGCAAAAGAAAAAGGGGTATTTTTAGAGCAAAAAAGCAATTTGCCTGATAAAATGTTATGCTGAGCAAGCAGAACTTCTCAGCCTGTATTTTGCTTCCATATTCTCTATCAAAGGGAATAAATTTGAGGTTAAATGGAAGAGAATTAACATTCCTAAGGAAAAATATAAAGTCCCAGATGGATGAAGAGGATAAATTCAAGTCTATTCACTAAATAATTTCTACCAAAAAGATTGGGAACATTTGCAAAAAAGGTCACTGAACCAAAGAAAATTTTAAGAAATTATGTAGCTTAAAAGAGAAATCTTGAAAGAACAGAGAGATAACTATTGTTCCAGTTTGCAAAAAGTAGAAGGTAGATGGTGGACTTTTCAACTACAGGGAAGTGAGTATTAGCTATTACGCTAGATTCTAAAAAGAAGTCTTCCTTTTTTTTTTTTT